AGCTCAAACATCCATTTCAAAGAGACTACCAGCAAAAATGGACTGAAGAATATTTTAAAGTGTCTAATCGCTACAAGAGAGCTGGTATACCTGTGTACAAAATAAAGGATTAAGCCGATGATCCAATAGAAGGCACTTTTTATGAATCGGAACTTCAAAAAGTCATGAAGTCGGGAGATATTCTGTATAGAGTGGAAAAGGTGTTGAAAAAGCGAAAACGCGGGAATAAAAAGGAAGTGTACGTAAAATGGGACGGATGGCCTAGTAAATTCAATTCGTGGATTCTCGAAAGTTCTCTTGAAAACACTAAATAAATACAGTTTTTTTAACAAATCATCATCAGTCAAGATGAGCCTTCGAATGGTGTTGAGGTCTACAGACAGCTCCGAATATTTTGACAATAAACCCAATTGTTTTCGAGTTCACTTGAATAAACAAATTCAATTGGATGGATACTGGACAGTTGCTTTAACAGAATTTACTACAGAGAGTTGGGATCCAGCGAAGAAAACCCCTGAGGTGTACATATGCTGTGACATATGCGAGGAAACCATTGTTGGTGGTAAGGACGTACCCCTCTTACGACGAGTTTTTCTTGGAGAAAAACAGGAGAACAACATCATCTACACGTTACCTTATTATCTTCCCGTAAAGATTGGTCAGTTACAACAGATCTGTATATATATAACGGACAGAGCAGGCAACTTAGTGCCATTTCTAGACGGACCGGTGAGCGCTACACTTCACTTTAAGAAATTCCCTTACGTTTTATAATGAATAGTCAGACGTACATAAGTGACCCTAAAATCTGGGAAGCTTTTTATAAAAACATGGCAGAGAAAAAGTTCAGTCCGTACAAATATAAACCCAAACAAATTGGAAGGGGTATGAGAAAACGAAAATCTTATGTCATTCCGATTAGACCTCATTCACAGTTAGAATCCGTTAACCCTACCCCTCAAGTGACACCGGTGGCTGCCGTGGAAGAGAGAGCCAAATCGGAACATGTGAAAGACGTAAAAGAAGGCGTTCCCTTTGTCAAGGTGACCAAGGGTATAAAAAGACCATCAAAACACTCCACAGTCATTCCTACTAAAAAATTGAAGACGTCAACATCGCACAAGAGGAGGAGGGAGAGCAAGAAATTCAATCTTGGGAAGAAAAAACCAGTCTCGAAAAAGAAAACGAACGGAAGACCTAAAAAGCGACATACATCTGGAGGAAAAAAGACATCTCAAAAGTCGAAAAAACTCTTTAAGATCGATAGTTACAAGAACGTTTTTAAGCAGTAAAGATGGCCTTCTTAAGCAGTGATAATAAAGACATAGCCCAGCCAATGGAACTTTCTCTCTTTGCGTCACCCACTAATCAGGTAGCAGTCGAAAAAGTGTATTTTACTGAAGCCAGACCGATTTCCAGTATTGGAGTGTCAGATACTCCCATAGAAATAGTCGTATCTGGATCGGGGGCGGAATATATCGATTTAAAAAGAAGCCGATTGTATGTAAAAGCCAGGATTTTAAAAGCGGATGGTTCCTCATTAGCGGCCAATGAGAAGACTGGAATTGTGAATCTCCCATTGCAAAGCATGTTTTCGCAGATGGATGTCTACTTAAATAACAAGTTGGTTTCCTTTAATACGAATAATTATCCTTGGAAGGCATACCTGAAAACAGTCTTGTTTGGTGGAAAAGAGGAATTATCTTCCCAAAAGCAGTCCCAGTTGTTTTTTAAGGACGAAGGAAATTTGGGTGATGCGAATGCCTACAATGGTGGCAATGCTGGACTAGTCCTGCGATACGGCTATACACAGGAAAGTAAAGTATTTGAACTAGAGGGTAACCTGATGGAAGATATTTTTGACATCGACAAATACCTGATCAATGGCGTAGATATCTACATAAAGCTTTTTAGATCTAGTGCACCTTTTGTAATGATGTCAGCACAGAGCACCCCGGCTTACAGACTGGAATTACTAGATGTCGTGTACAAAGTGGCCAAAGTGCGAGTAGATCCTGGAGTTCTATTGAACCACAGCAAGCAGATAGAATCTACCCCTGTAAAATATACCATCTCAAGAAATGAATTGAAAATGAACACCATTCCTAGAGGATCTACTGAATTTTACTGGGACAACATTTTTCCTCAGGCAGTACCCGACCGCATCGTTGTCGGATTGGTAGATCAAAAAGCTGTTAACGGGGATTACACAACCAATCCTTTCAATTTCGAGCATTTTGGTGTAACGGATGTAGGGATATACGTAAACGGAGAAAGTGTCCCAGAAAGACCCTTAAAAACCGATTTCACGACAGGACATTATTCATCAGCATATGCTCGACTGTTTGAGGCCTCTGGAAAATGGAATCAAGACGCTGGGCTAGTAATTACTCGAGACAACTTTGGAAGTGGATATTCTTTGTTCATCTTTACCATAGATCCCTGTGGTTTTGGTGAAGAATATTTAAACCTGATTCGAAGAGGAAACACCAGACTCGAACTAAAGTTCAAACAAGCAACAACAAAAGCTGCAAACGTTTTGGTGTTTGCCACCTTTTCCTCTCTACTAGAAGTGGACAAGTCCCGGGACATCAATAACATTCAACCATGAATTCTAAACAGCTCCTCGATTTTGTGCACAAGGAACCTGTCTTAAAACGATTTGTAAAAGGAGTACATGCCAGTAATACTTTACCGGAAGTCGTGACGCATTACCCAAGTGCCTTCATCATCAATACGCAACCTTTGCCATTTCCTGGAGAGCATTGGATTGCTGTAATCATACACAGTTCCTCGGAGGCTGATTTTTTTGACAGTCTAGGGAAACCACTTGGGAATTATCCAGAGATTGAGAACTTTATTTATAAGAATAGTGAATTCTGTAACTTTAAATATAAACGACTTCAACCTTCCTATTCAGATTTGTGTGGGCTTTATGTACTTGTATTTTTGATATCTAGATTGTGTCTTAAAATGGCTTTGTCACGTGTTTATACTTTATTTTCTAGTAGCATTCAACTTAATGATGACTTTGTACGTAGTTTCATACATGAATTCTTGTATCAATAAACATGATATATGACATTGGTGACTTTTTTTTTTATAAATACTTGTTCAGTATTACATGTCAAATCATTCGTTAATCAGTAGAGGAAAGGGAAACATGGCAACGCAGATCGAATGGTGGAAAACAAAATCTTTACTACCATTTTCAGCACCCACCACAATTTTGATTTGTGGTAGTACGCAAAGCGGAAAGACCCATTTCACTAAACGACTCTTGCAAAATGCAGATGGCATGTTTTCCACTTCTGTAGATAAAATCATCTATGCTTATTCTGAATATCAACCCATGTTTGACGAAATGAGGGCAAACATACCCAGACTCATATTACATCAAGGATTACCCTCCAAGGAAGATATAGAGCAGTATACTGAGAATGTAAACCACACGATAGTGGTATTAGACGATCTTATGCTACAAGTTGCACAATCTCAAGATTGTGTACATCTTTTTACGGTGACTTCTCATCACCGTAACGTAACCACTATTATGCTCTCTCAAAACTTGTATCCTCCTGGTAAATATGCCAGGACCATATCTCTGAACTGTCTTAATGTGATTTTATTCAGGAATTACCGTGATTCCCGCCAGATCATCACCTTCGGATCACAAATATTACCAGGATATGTACCGTTTTTCAAAACAGCATACGAAGCAGCAACAAGTCCAAATTTTGGCTATTTGCATGTGTGTTTAGAACCTACCCAAAACAAAAAATACCAACTGCGATCCCGCATCTTGCCTGGAGAGGACATGGTTATTTATCAACCTCTATAAAAACATGTTATCCATTGTAATTTATTCAGTATACCAATATGAATCGAAGAATACGGAAGCAGAGAGCATTTCTTTCTTTTATGCTAAGTGCAAACACTACTCAACAGAGAATGATTATCAAATCTTTGACTAGTGAACAATACGATGTCATCAGTGAAATAGCCCTGAATATATACACAGGGACTTTTCCCCTGAGTAAGAAGTATATAAATCAACTGAAACCTTACCATTCGAACATTCGATCACTGGGATCAAGAGAAGTCACTTCAAAGCAAAAGCGTAGAATTTTATTGAACCATCTACAATTGCTGTCCCTGTTGTTGAAACCTATCGTTCATCATTTAGACAAAAATGGCGAGAGAAATGATATTATTGCCTAAATTAAAATACGAACATCTACTTAAAAAAATCGGGGAGAATGAGGAATCTATTAAGCCAGACACTGTGAATGACGATCAGAGACAACAGATACCTGAAAACACCCTAACTGATACAACAAGGAGTGAATCAATCGACAACACCTCGCAGACAGGCAGTGGCTACGTCAGTAAAACGAAAACAATAGGAAAACCTCCTGGTGTGTCCATGAAACGCCGCAAGAAACACATTCCATGGCTTTCATACTGATTGTTAAACTGAACCAAAAAATGAACTATTTTTTTGTTTAAAGAACGTTTATTTTGTATAATTCAAAGAATAAATAATACAAACATGTAATTAATTTTTAGTACAGATAATAAAGTAAGATAAAAAAAAATGTTCATAGTCTTTATTAACATGCTTTTCAACAATATCCAAATGGCAGTGTATCAAGGTTGGGAAGAATTCTCCGTTTAGTGTATACCATTTGATATCGCTTGGTTTCTCTTCGATTTAACAATTTTCTTTTTCGACTGTCCCTGGATATTTTACAAGGGTTGATAATTTCAATCTGCTTATCCTGCGCTGTACAAATTATGGACTTAATGGCTTCAAAATTAATTACTTTGGAATTTGTCCAGTTTAACGTAAAACCACGAACTTTACATTCTTCCCTTCCCGAGAGCGTACGATATGCATAATTTTTTGGGCCCCCTGACACAAATTCTACAATGTGTCCATCTTCAGGTGTGATTTCGTTCGTCAGTTCCCCTAAATAATTACCAATAGGTAGATAATGTTAGTCGTCAGACTTGAGAGTTTTAAAAATAACACTATCTGTATCAAAGTATAGCACGTTTTCCCCCAATCGATCCAATACACCAAATAAGCGCAAACGCGCATGTGCAGTAGTGAAACTTGCTAAAAATATATTTGTTTTGCAATCTGAAGGCATGAACAAGTGATGGTTACTCCATTCGAATTGGAGGGTGTCTCTGGATATAATGTGAAAATTATGAGGGACTTTTGTAGGATCTGAGAGAAGCTGAAAAAACTTGTCAAAGTCAGATTCATGAAAGAACTTGGACTGTTTCATGTTGAGCCTCTGACCGAATTTCCCCCAAAAACTGTTGAGACAGAGTTTAGCTAAACAGCGCAAACCTGGATTTTTCTGAATTTTATCGTATTCCAAATCTATACCCTCGTTCTCTTTATATTGTCGAATGTATTCTTGTTTCGACTCTTCACTGTCACACTCGGGTGGGAATCCGGAGGCTTCCTGTTTTATCTTAAGGAATGTATTAACGTAATTTGCAAACAAACCCCCCTCACCTGTTGTGGGGTCATACTGAAGACGACTGCTCAAAATGGTACACCTCATATATTTTCAAAACTCTGTACCCTTTTCTCACTGCCATTTGGATTTCAGGAGTACACCACGTCCCCGTGATTACCCTTTTCTCAACAGAACAAGTACAAGCGTGTTGATTTTCGGCATCGGCACAGGTTCGACACAATGGAAACTTCAGTTTTCCTTGGGAGCGATACGGGAGCACGGGGTGATACAGTTTTTTGGGTGGTAGGACTTTGACTTTAGCGAGTCCAAAATAATTTGATATGTCCTGAAAATCGTTCGTAATAATGGTCGGATGACCCACGGGATAACGACAATATTTATTAGTCCATGGATAGAGACTTGTGAAGTCGTAATACTGGATTTTCTCGTTTTCTTTCACCTCATAATGAAGTTTCACGGCATTGGTCCGACCACCAAAGAAACTGTCACGGGGATCAAGTCTGTCTTCTAAATCCAGCGTGGAAACGAATTGCTGCAATTCGGTATTATTATCCAATTGATGTCGAAACTGGTGCTCCCATACTACGATCAGATCGTATCCAAGCTCTTTAAGTTCTCGTTCTCGCTTTTTAGTCATCTTGTACAGTTCGTCTAACGTCTGGTTTGTGGCTGGATGTTTGACATCTGATCGCTCCTGTGTGAAGCACTCCGGACATCCATGGTACACACAACCTGTAAAAAAAGAGCAAGATTTATGTTTATGTTTTCAACACAAGATTCGCCGCCGCCCCCTCCCCTCAGTTAGGGAAAGGGAGGGGCAAATTCGATAGTAAATTTCATAACAATCTCTTACCATAAAATTCGTAGATGGTGCCTTTCCCCTCAGGATTCCCGACAAATCCATCACATCGATAATTCGTGTCTGGAACGTGGTGTTCTCCCCCATTGAGAGCGTGGCGGATATGTCGTGGTGTCCCTCGTTGTCGACTTCGGTACATCAACCATTCTAACCATTGAATGGATACTTTACTGTAATGATCCTTGCTGACGTATCCCTGAGACGGTACGACAGCTATGGGGCTTTTCAAACGTTGTTTCCCCACTTCCGTGTTGTCTTCTTTTTTCAGGTCACTAAGAGCACTCCATTTTCCATCGAGCCATACACCCGTCACCCCCTCACAGTCATCCAACGTCTGCCAAGTGGACGTCAAGTCTCTCGTAATTTCAACTTCAACATTGTGCTTGAGAAATAAAGTTTTGTAAATACCCATGCACACACTGGCGATCGTTACATAGGCAAAGGGGTCCACACCCTCAATGGTAGTCTTTGAAGTCGTGCCATCGGGTTGAACACTTGAACTCTCTCTTGTCGTGGCTTGAAGGACGGTATTTCGAAAGGCTATGCAACCCCTTCTCAGTATATCAACGTCGGAGCGACAGTATTTTAACATTTCTTCTTGAAAGTTAAAAACTTCGGAACTCTTGCTTGCATGCCACAAGGCTAACTTTTTTCTTTCTCCCGACGACATGAAATCGTATCCGTAAAATTGTAGAGCAGGGTAGGGACCCACGTAAGTCTGATTTTCTTTTGTATTGAAAAAATGAGGAAAGAATCCCTTGCTGAGTTCCTCTAAGCCAAATGCATCTGGAATCTTTGCCAATTTCATGGGAAGGAAATTTAACGAATCCAAAAACGTGAGATTCAATTTGTTTGCGATGTGCATATACATTACTTTTGACCCATTGTAAATGATTTTATCTGGTCGAATCGAATGTCTATCAATAAGAACTTCTAAAATCGGATATAAGTCAAAGCTTTTAGCATTGTGGGCAATTAAAATGGTGTTCTTCATGTGTGGTTGACACACATAGGCACAAAACTTCTGCGGTCCTTTCGCCGCGAAAGATCAGTTCCCGATGACCACAAGTATCTGGACAGGGGGGACCGACAAACTTTGATTTTTTCATTTTAGCACACTTGTGACAACGTTCACCGCAATTAAAGCATGTGGAATCTTTGTTTAATTCTTCCTTTTCACAGACGTGGCAGGAGGTCTGCAGGACCGCAAAGTTAACTTTATGTTGCTGTAGCCCACAAGACGGGTCCTCACAATGCCGGCAGAGCCTACAATTTACACACGGGTGGTCGTTTTTCACGCATTCACGGCATCTAATGCGAGCAGGAGTGTAACCCTGTTCGCATTGAAAAATATCATCTTGGCGTGTTTCGAAGTCGTAGAAAATGAATTTTTTTTTCTCTCGCTCCCCTGGATCAGAATCAGTGGACTTCTGAAAACAGAGGTGTTCACCTACGTGGTATTCGGAACAGCTGCGGCATTGCCATTCTCCACATACGTGTAACTTAGGATCACGTTTAGACACGGACAGTTTGACGCGACATTTCTTACATTGATGCCATAAATCACAGACAGGTGGGATGGTTTCATTATTGTGAAGTCTTTTACCGACTTTGTGTCTTTCAAAACAGGCAATTGAATGGCACACACGACCACAGGTTATACATCCTACTTGATTTTCTGTCTTTGGACAGGCATCGTGTAAACACACATCACAGGAGGTTGAACACGTGTGGTTATGTTTGTCTTTATAAGCTTTCAAACAAGTATGGCAAAAATAAGACACGTTGAAAAAGCCCTGTATACTACCAATACCGTGCCGATGTTTTTCATTTTCTGTCTCCACATGGTACAAATATAATCGACTTCGATCAGTATCTTCGATGACTCTGATAAATTTGTTGCCGACTCGAGATGACGCAACGTTGATGCTGACATTCAACAAATTTTCGAAAGGTTCAATGTCATTTAACCCCAGATATCTGTTGGCTGGAACACCTGCTCTTTTACAGAGCTCTAGTGCCATGGACGTTTGACATTTCTTGCGTGATTTTTTAAGCATATTACCGTAATACCACTTGGGAACGGTTTTGTGTTGAATCACGTGATCCATTGTCGTCCCAGGGTCATTTCCAACTAACTGTGACCACGTTGTGGCGTCTACTTTTTTGCATATCTTCATGAAACAAATGCCTATAGAAATGGGTAGACAAAGATTGTTGTCATTTTCAACATACAAGATAGATTTTTTTTTAATCAACGAATTGCCGGGCCCAAAGAGGGACGTAACGGGTAACTTATTCCCACTCCAACCCCCACCCTTTGGTAAATCGATGGATCCTACAGTGACAAGTAAATGTTCATCAACAGGTATTGTTTCATTGGAGTTTAATACTTTTGTTATCTCGGACATCACCGTATCGGCATTGAGATTTTCCCAGGACTGCAGTGGGACGACGATAGAGTTGTTCAAATTCGGGTGACTGAGTACAACCCGACCCAAATCGGCATCATGTCCTCGGGCCTGCGACAACACATCATCAAACATGTCGTGCATTTTTTGGTAAATGTCGACCAATTTTTCTCCTCTCCATTGATCATTAAATTTGACCTTAAAACTCGTGTCGCGGGCCAGGTTCTTTTTGAAGGTTCGGGTATCTTTTTTCCAAATGTAGTAAGGTTTCTCTTTGATTTCATCTCCACCCCCAAACTGAAAGCTTGTACATGGTTGATCATCTTCATCCGATTGCCTCGGTCTCTTTGGAGCAGATTCCAGATCAAGCAGAACTTCTTCCCATAAATTGTCAATATGATGATTCCATTCTACTTCCCTTATGCGGTTCTCAACCTCAGCATCTCCGGTTAAACCATTGGCTGCAGCAAAGAGATTGATGGTGTCTACCTCAGTTAAAGAATCCAGAATTTCCTTTAACAGATTGTCAGCCATGTCTTCAATTGTAAAAAAAAAAATTTGTTTTGAAAAAACAAAGCAAATTTTTTAACTTGTAGCACAGTTGTTTTCGTGATAGGATTTCCATTAAGGTTTCGTCAAAGGTCAACATGTCTAAAAAAATATTTTTACAATAGCCCCAAAATTATGTGAGGTATAAAGTTGAAACTTTTACAGTTTATAAATTTTTCATTGATTAACAGAAAGAAAGTATCACTTGATAATAATTATTTGGAACAATATTTAAATGGAGAAAAAATCTTTTTAAAAATGCATATTTTTTCAGAAAATGCACCCAATTCATTCCGTGCTTCAAGTGAAAACCATCACTGCAGAAACAAAATATGTTTATCAATGAAGGGCAAGTTGGACTTGGATAGCCTCAGAAAGTTGTTTTTCCTGTTTATTTTGTCGAAATGTTAGTACTTGAAAGCGAAAGTACAATACAAATGGCGGGTTCTACAGGGTCTTGTCTTTATACATGTATGTCATGCTTTCAATAACAACCTTTCAGAGACCATTCACGTCCAACTTGCCCTTCAATGATAAACATATATTATTTCTGCAATGATGGTTTTCACAAAAAGGACAGAATTAAGCAGATGTATTTTTCTTAAAATATGCACATTTTCTGAAACAATTTTCCTCAAGAAAGATTTTTTTTATATATTTGTTATCAAGTGATTCTTCCTATCTTTTAATCACTGATATATTTATAAACTGTAAACATTTTGACTTTATACCACACATAGTTTTGGAGCTATTGTAAAAATATTTTTTTAGACATGTTGATCTTTGACGAAACCTTATAACATTAATTTTGACCCACACAATCAAATTGATAAAATTGACATTTAAATAATAATATATCCACTCATTTCCCAACAGGCAAATCGTGTTGAATGAACATTGAATCCACGTTTAACCAATGTCTAAACCTAAATTCAACGTTGATTTGACGTATCAACGTAGTATGCCTGCCGAGTTAGTCCTTTAACATTTCAACTGGTCAGGTTTTGGGCCCAATAACAAGTTTGATCTTGTGGAAACCATGAAAAAAAACGATACCCTTTCATGCAAATTATCAACCACAGAATTATCATATATGGAACCTTTGTAGAATAGCAGAGTGATTCATAGATTAGAAAAAATAAACCAACAATTGAACTTTTAAAAAACTTTTAATAACAATACAATAACTTGATATAAAATGCGAAATAAAAAGAGGTAGATAAAATCACATGTTCCTCTACACAGTAAAAATGAAATAAACATCTTTTTTTTTCAAAAAAAACTCCATCAGGTAAAAAAAAAAGTGTTTACTTTCACACAACCCTATTTTTTTCATTAGAAAATTAAAAAATTACCCAGTAAATTTGCCTCCTTCAAAGACCAACTAGTAAAGAAGTGTAGGGGGCAATACCATCAATAACAGTTGATAGGGTGCTTAAAAACTATCAATATATGTAAATATTACACAAATAGCAAACTTTCTATAAAAATTGTAAAATGATATCAATAGAAAGAAGTATCTGAGCAGTAGATTCTTTTTTTTTCAGCATGTAGTAAACACATTTTTTAACAAAGTACAAAATCATCAAGACAATACTATATTGTATTAATATTTCTGTAACTAACCTATCACAGCAAAAACATCCAATCATAGGCTAGTGAAATATAAACATATGAGTATGCTTCAAAAATTAACAAACATTTCTTGTTGTCCACAACAGTACAATAATTAAAGAAAAAAAATGATTTTTTTCTTAGTTAAAAGATTACCCTAAAAAATATAGATTCCTTCATATTCTCCCAAGAACAAAAGTAGTAAATCCTGAAAATTTGAAGAAAAAAAACCAATCAGGTATGATAACTAATACGCTTCAAAATATACCAAAAAAATATAACAAACATGACTTATTCTCCTTAAAAAACAACAGGTAAACTCAAGTTTGCAAAACATCATAGTACTTTATAAACAAATCTTTTTTAAGGGAAGTCTTATTATTATCCCCATCATAACCTCTCTTTCGCTCTATGTCATCATGTTCCCCTTTAATTATACAAATTTTCCAAGTACATCAATAAAAAAAAGAAAACTTTTCCCCCCCCCAAGCTTTTAAAACATCACTCAAAACTTCAATTGTTTGGTCTGAGATCTGGTACGTGATGCCACAGGTAGGAGAGGATTTGTACTTTCTACGGATGTTGTGGTCAGATCGGTCACAGAGGTTGCTCGGTCTGTAACACTTAACATGCTTGTTGATGTGTCTTTACTGGGTGTTGACGTTTTAGGGAGAATCGTGGAAGATGATATCTCAGAAGCATAAGGTGTGGAATAGGAGCTAAGTTCAATCTCTTCTGTTTGCGTGCTAAGATTACCAGAGGTGGGTGGTGCAGGTGTAGGTGTAATGCATCTACAGCATTGACAATACCCATGTTCTCGTATACATCTCCTCAACAAGACAATGACAATAGCCATTGTTGCAGCAACTGCCCATATGAAGAATCCTATTGATGTAGAAAAAATAATATACAAATATACATACAGAAAGTGTGAACATAAAACTTCAGAAATCTTTATTTTTTTATTGTCTCTATCATCTGAACTGCTTGAAAATATTCTTTCATGGTCTAGTTCAGAGTTTTGTCTCAATTTATATATCCTATTTCGACCCCAAGAAATTTTTTCTGGATTTACTCTTCATTGATTGCATTTCACAAGGACATTAAAGTTTATCTTTCACAGATATACCTATTGCAAATATTATACATACAAATGTACAACTACACATCACTAGAATTGTATACATCAGAATGGGGGTCTGACCTTTAACTTCAGGCTCATCAAAAATGGTATCCTTCTCTGGTGGTTCCGTCGTTGTCTTCCTCTTCAGATGAGTTCCTACATTTTCAAAAAAAAAAAAAATATAAATAAAAAAATAAAAATAGTTCACGATCATATGAGAATTTAAAAAAAAAACCTCCCTTATTAAATGATAATAAATAATTCTACTGGATAAAAAAATAATACATCAGCTGTGAAATTAAGTGAATTATCTTTCATGTAAAAGTGATGAAATAATAAGAATAACTCACTTGCACTCCATAATGCAGATACAGTAGAATCTTCTCTGACAGCAGTGTAGGGTTGGACTGTGGAGGGTCGGACTGTAGTAACTAACTCCTTGGCAATGGTGGAGGGTCGGACTGTAGTAACTGACTCCTCGGCAACGGTGGAGGGTCGGACTGTAGTAACTGACTCCTCGACAATGGTGGAGGGTCGGACTGTAATAACTAACTCCTCAGTAATGGTGGAGGGTCGGACTGTAATAACTGACTCCTCGGCAATGGTGGAGGGTCGGACTGTAGTAACTAACTCCTCGGTAATGGTGGAGGGTCGGACTGTAGTAACTGACTCCTCGGCAATGGTGGTGGGTTGGACTGTAGTAACTAACTCCTCGGTAATGGTGGTGGGTCGGACTGTTGTAACTGACTCCTCGACAATGGTGGAGGGTCGGACTGTTGTAACTGACTCCTCGGCAATGGTGGTGGGTCGGACTGTAGTAACTGACTCCTCGACAGACTGCGGTACCCTCATGGAAGTTGGAGCTGTAAATGTAAAGTTATGCTATTGATAGACAGCTTAGTTCACACAAACACACACATGGGCATAAACCACGTCATTAACAGTGCACACCATTATTAATATCAGCAACCCCTCTCAGATAGACACATTTAACATATCTCAAAAATTATTTCTGCTCTATGGATTAATACCACTGCAATTCTAATTGTAAACATTAATTAATTTTTTTTTTCATGGATAAACTGGGTCCCTCAAGCAAGGCGCTTGACTTTTTTTTTTTAAAGATGCATGTATGCATAATGTCTCATGTTTATTTAGTTGTCGTCTGAGCATCCCCAAAAGTTTAAGTGACTGAGACTATTAAGTACCGAAACCAGGTCTAGGGATTCCTCGGCTTAAAAAAACCCCAATAAACTTAATCTTTCCATGAAACTTGATCTTGAACTTGATTTGTTACAGTGCAACGTCCTTTGACATTCTTACACCATTCATTCATTGGTGACTTGGCAAACGGAAGTATACACAATATCAATCTCTACCCAGAGTTATCGTTCGTACCACATTTATAGGTACGAACGATAACTCTGGGTATGAAAAGTTCATATCGTATCGCCCCCTACACTGTGATGCATGATGTCAATGTCCGAGCAAAAGCGATGAAGTTAGCCTGTACAAATTCTACCAATAATAGACCTAATACAAAGATATGTTGTGTCTTTTACACCTGCAACTACACACACATCGATAGTTTCACGAGTCGTACCATGAAGTGTTCACGTGATCGAAACCTGAACTACCGAGGTGTTCCGAAAAAATAGGTCTGGGGATTCCTCTGCTAAAAATAAACTCAACCTTGTCATGGCTATTTAGCGCTGTAAGGATCCCCAACCGTGTGAGAGCAACAAATTAATTCCCAAACAATGCACCTAATATAAGAAATTTTATCTGCATACTATATGTGTATATGTATGACTTGCGCCGCGTGGGTATCAATTAATAGATAAATAATAAACAAATTTACCATTGCATGGCACTGCATTCCCAGGCCCAAGTTTCTTTGTAAACTTCTGCCACTTTCCGGGGAATATTTTCTGAGAACACCTCGATACATACACTTCTCGAATCTTTGTTTCACTGTCAGGACTAAATACGCGTATACATGTCAAGGATGTTCGACTGCAGTCCGCTACACCGTCTGCATTTGAAATGCAAATTCCACAATTCAGAGGAAGCGCACCCGTTTCATTTAACACAAAGTTAAAAACAATAATCAGCATCAAACACATAGGCCTATTCATCATCAGTGTGATGCATCTACCCCACTTCTGCTGCAAAATCCGCGCCGTTGATCAGTCTGCACGTGCAGAAAAAATTTTAAGCGCTAACGTATTGTCACATGACCGGGTGTGGATCATGGGGTAAAAAAACAGTGTACATTGTAAAGCCTTATAGTTTTGATTAAAATGATGACATATATATATTACGAAAAACACTCTCTCTGTTGTCTAACGCAAACCTTAGAACAAATATTCAAAATGATGACAGATATTGGCGGCTAGTGGTGATTAAATAATAATGCCAATGACACAAACTTTTTTTTTTTACTATGAATTGTGCTCATAGTTCATAACGACAGACACACTGTGTTGTTCATTACAATGTGATATTTCAACATGTAGTTAATAAATTACAGACACTCGAAGATTATTGTATCTGTGTAATAATAAATCTGGTTACTCAGATTACACGTAAACAATTTTTTTTAATGTGATAAGTGTTTATTAGGTTAGTGTATCCATCCTATCGCACAGTGTACATAATCTACTAATCTCGCTTTTGAGCGAATTAAGTTTGTCGTCGAAAACCTACATCAGTATATAAAATGTACTATTTACAAGATTGTTTTCTAGATCTATTAAACTTACTTCAGTGATCTTTTGTTAATGACTGTATGGATGAGACAAGTCATTTAAAATGGTGAGAAATAGCTAGGATTTCGTCAATTTATAGGAAAATTAAACTCAGGATAATTATAGAATATTCTCATAGCAACACATACAAAAACATGCAACTACAGAAAACGAACTTTATACAGGTGTGAAATAACGAATAAATTACAGAAAACGCGCGCAATATTTTTTTAAAAGGTGAACGGAACTATGAAATCGCTTCGGTAATTACAGAAAGCGCACGTGGTATTTTCTTTGATTTAAAAAAAATCGCTTCGGTAATCAAGTCGTGTCATGGCAATTTAACTTCACAAAGATGTAATTATAGAATATTAGCATGACAACACATGCGAATAATTACAGAAAACGCGGTATTTTCCAAAAGGTGAACTGAACTTTAAAAAAAAATGCTTCGGAATTACAGAAAACGCGCCCGATATGAAAACTTTAATAAAAAAATCGCTTCGGTGATCTGGGCGTTCCATGGTAATTCAACTTTACAGATGAGAAATAACGAATAATTACAGAAAACGCGGTATTTTCCAAAAGGTGAACTGAACTTTAAAAAAAAATGCTTCGGAATTACAGAAAACGCGCCCGATATGAAAACTTTAATAAAAAAATCGCTTCGGTGATCTGGGCGTTCCATGGTAATTCAACTTTACAGATGAGAAATAACGAATAATTACAGAAAACGCGCGCAATATTTTCTAAAAGAAAAAAAAAAACCGCTCCTCCACATCATACAAGATATCAAACATATTACTTAGATTAATTACAAAATGTCATCAATGATAATAAAAAATAGATATAACTTGTACAGTGACTAATAAGATCATCTGTAAATTTGTGAACAGTTGTAAAAATGTTTATATTAGTTTGCAAAGGTAAAACTTTATCACCACATAGTAACAATTTTGTGTCAATATTAATGAAATCAAAAGTAAAAAGTCGATTTTCAACAACATGTACAACTTTTTGCTTGAAAAATATTTGTTTTTATAATCATTCTTCTTCTTTCTGTGCTGAATGTGTAAACATTTGTATGCATGTGTTCTTTTATTTATTTATCTATCTATTTATTTATTTATTTATTTATTTTTCATGCTGTTTATTAAGGAGCCTTAATGGGAAAAAAATATTTACGACTTTGTAGTACCAATATAGTAATTTCTAAAAGTTCAAAAAATGAGAACACGTTTTAAATTTTCTTGAAGGTACATTGTACTTTTTAAGAAAATCGCTTTGGTAATCAATTCGTACCACGGCAATTTAACTTTACACGACTTTGTAGTACCAATATAGTAATTTCTAAAAGTTCAAAAAATGAGAACACGTTTCAAATTTTCTTGAAGGTACATTGTACTTTTTAAGAAAATCGCTTTGGTAATCAATTCGTACCACGGCAATTTAACTTTACACAGATGTAATTATAGAATATATGTAAAAAATTACAGAAAACGTGCGCGCAGTCATCATCGCGCAGAATTTTCTGAAAGGTTAGTCGAACTTTAAAAAAAACGCGCGCGATTTTTTCTTGAATGATCGTTTGAGCGTTTTTTGAGACGGTTTCTATAATTTTCTATAATTTAAATAAATACAATTGTTAAACGCCAAGCCCTGCCCCTTTTCTCCCGAATCAGTATAAATAGAGAGGATAAATGCAAAGCAAAAGTGGATCGAGATGGGGGAGGAATTCCAGGTGGCGTTTGAATCAGGGTAAGTACTCTTTTTAAAATTTATCACTTTTTAATATGTATTAGCTGTCATTTTGAAGTCAAAAATTTTTTTGATGTTGAAATTGTGATTTTCTGTTACAATGAAAAACAATGTATATATAAAAATAAACAGGTTAACATTTGTTTGCTTCAATTTTTATTTAAAATAATGCTAAAAATTTATAATTTATTAGAAACTTCCCGGAGGACCCATACCAGGTTGAAGAAGATAAACCCTCCCCTAAACAAAGTCAACCTACATAAAAGAGAAAATTAAGTGAATCAGAAGACTCACTAATTCTTTTGAGAAGGTAAATTTATTTAATCTCTACTCTTATTCTAAAAAAATATAAGAATACCCCCACTCCACCACATACTATTGAAATGTTTTAAAGTGTAAACATAAACATTTTTTTTACTTTTTTTTTTGAAAATCTTTTCGTAGGAAAATGAAGAAAGAAAACAGCCCTGAGAGTGAGGGGTTCTCGCAGCAGACGAAAGAGGAGCATCCACTGCTGAAAACATTCAGGTAAACTTTACAGACTTTAAGGCACAAAAAATCAAATAAAGGAATATAAAAGCATGAAGCAGACTCACTTTGGTTTAAAGTATTTGTTAAAAATAAAAAAAATAAATGAATATTTTATTTTAAGTTTTTTTTGCTTGTTTGTTTGTTTTTGTTTGTTTGTTTGTTTGTTTTTAAATTTTTCTTAGTATACTTATCTATTTTTTATTTATTTATTTTTTGTAACAGAGAAGACAACCCAGGGAAATATACAACGTTTGAAAAACGTATCCGGTCAACGTTTACCCTCACGACACCAGTGTGTAACACGTTGACTGTTAGCCATAAACCTGCGTCGACAGAGTCAGGAGTGTTCAACCCACCAGTGCCTATAAAATCCCAGGGATACAGTCCCTCATCTCCGGATTACAGTCCCTCATCTCCGAATTACAGTCCCGTATCTCCGGATTACAGTCCAGTATCTCCGGATTACAGTACAGCATCGACACCAGTGCTAATAAAGTCGGAACCTACATGTACAGTCACCCCAATGATGACTCTGACAACAACACCCCAGGCCCCCCTTCCGTCATTCGCCGGATATAGTCAGGTATCTTCGGAATACAGTCCAGCATCGACAAAAGTGCTAATAAAGTCGGAACCTACAGTCACCCCAATGATGACTCCGACAACAACACCCCAGGCCCCCCTTCCTTCATTCGCCGGATATAGTCAGGTATCTTCGGAAAACAGTCCAGCATCGCCACCATTGCTACTAAAGTCGGAACCTACAGTCAACCCTATGATGACTCGGACAACCACCCCCCCCCCCCCCCCCCACAATCAACACCGAGTCTCTCTCCAGTTGTAGCACCAGGGTTTTGGACGCCACCTGACAATTACCCTCTCAAAGAGGAGCTCAACGCTTTAAACGAATTGGTAGATAGCGTCCGTGTGGACCTTCTCCAAACGTCAATGGTGGTACATTATATTCAAGATTTCATGAAAAAATTTCAGTGACATTTTTTAAGAGGAAAGGGTTAAACTAAATGTGCATCTGCTAAATTTACATGATCATTATATGTGTTCTTTTTGTTTAAAACTCTATCCAAGTATTTGTTCATTTTCAAGTATGCAACTATGTCTTAAATTTTTTTTTTCCCTTCTTTCTTAATGATTGGTATGATGATGTGTTCAGATTATCTATTTGTTGAGAAACTCGCAATAAATTTTATAGTCATATAAAATTTCTTTTTTTTTTAATGAAATAGAGTAACATTACAACATGTACTTACTACTATGGGAGATTGATCTGCAACGTTCAAACAGAAAATTCTGACTAAAAGAAATACTATTTGGTTGTTTATAGTTCTCTGTTTTATCTGCACTTTTAAGTGAACAGTGAAATAATCTCGATGTTGTGTGTTGCTGATAAATCGTATACAGGCTATATTTATATATATATAAGAGTGGTGTCCTTAAACAGCCTTTGGAGTAGTGCCCTCAGACGGCCCTAAGCGTAGTGCCCTCAGACGGGGGTGTCCGCAGACGGCCCTAAGAGGGGGTGCCCTCAGACGATCCTAAGAGGGGGTGCCCTCAAACGGCCCTAACAGGGGGTGCCCTCAGACGGCCCTAAGAGGGGGTGCCCGTAAAGTGCCCTCAGACTACCCCCTTTACTACTGGGGGGGGGGGGAGGGGGGGTCGACTTCTTATCATTTATACCGGTCCTTTAGCTAATAGTTAATGGATTTCTGTTAAGATGTCTATAAATCCCCAGCAATTTTATATGATATTGGATAATGATCCCCTTTTATATTAAATATTTAAAAAAAAATTCTAGATACCTACCCCCACCAGGAAAAATGCTCCCGTATACTCAGTGAAATTCGTAAGTTTCTCAATTAAAATATCGAAAGCCATGCATGCTTTTGTTCACACTTTATTTATAGAGTCCTTATACAAGCAAAATTAAGATGTATTAGAAGAATTTTTAGTGTGTGTCCGTGTACATTTGTGTGAGGGGGTGGGGTGTAGAGGTGGTTGCGGACATCCTCCCCAACATCCCCTTGAAATTTTCCATTGTGTACAGGTGCAAGAGACATTTATAAATATTTACCGTTGGTTCAGCCGAGATATTTGGATATAAAATCGCTTTTTATAATTTTTAACTAGTCTTTATAGATTATAAGTTTGACTAAAATTTTAGCTATATTGTCACTTGCCAAAAAATCGAAGCATATGGAATGAGTAAGATATATACATATGTTACTGTCGACTTATTTTAAGTACATGTATGATATCCCCCGAATATAGTAATAGTCGCTCCATTATTTCCCTGTAAAATCCACCTGTGACGTCACTCTTTTGTTTGAGCGCTCCATTATTTTTCAGGATTTTTTTTTTATATAAAATATTTTTCTATGACACATTCACAAAATATTACCGTACAATTGAAAAATCCAAAATATAACATAAAACTAACCTTTTATAAATATTCATACTCTCTGATACTAAAAGTTCTCTTTTAGTATCAGAGAGTATGATTTTTTATAAAAGATTAGCTTTAGATTATATTTTGAATTTTTAAATTGTAATACTTTGTGAATGTGTCATAGAAAAATATTTTATATAAAAAAAAGTCGGGGAGAACCCTTGGGATACAGAACGCAGGGGAGGGGGGAGGGGGTCCCGTCGCCAAGCACCTGTGATATGAAGCCTGCTTTTTTAAGTACACATGCAGGGATTTTGAGGCAATTTATTTCAAGGTGTAAATACTAACTACTAGCTTAGAATTATATACATTTAAAAAAAATAGATATGTTTATATACTTGTATTTGTTATCGCATGAAAAATGTAGTTAAACAATTGATTTTTAATTAAAGAATACATGTATGTTTTTTATTCCAGGGGAAAAGATGAAGATGATTATTTCAAGTATCACTTTTCAAACCCATGCATTTAAAATTCTTCTTGACTGCTCAGACACAACACCACATAATGGTCAACCTCTGATGTAAAGAGAAATCATGGAAACATCAAGCTTAGCTGTTTCTATTGTCTACAAAATTGTTATATAGCAGCTATTTTCTACATTTTGTTTATCTCTAAATACACATTTTGGATAATGTTTAGATGTAGATTCTTGCTTGATTAATAATTTGAAAAAAAGTTTTTCAAAGTAGCGATAAAATTATACATATACACATGAATATGTGTATGTTTACTGATTGTAAGACTATATATTAATGGTTTTATTAATATTTTTAATAGGGTGTTAATTTATGTAATTTATGGTCAGTGTAAATATTTCTAAATTTCTTTAACCAAATAAAATTAATATATAAAGATATGCATCTGGGAACAAGCAAAATTTAAATGGAGGAAATTAACATTAGCTTATCAAATTTCAAACCTGCTAAATTAATATCTACCTACATGTACCTAGGTATGAAAAAAGTAATAATTTATTATTTTTTGGTTAAAAAAGTATCATAAGAGTTTTTATCCATTATCTTTTTCCATATTTTATCTAGTATTTGAAAATGTTGTTTACTGAAATAAGTTCCAATGAAAAGTTGAATAGCCAATTTTCTTTAGAGTTTCAGTTATCTGCCCTTTGTAAAGGTTCCTAAAGAAACAATAATAATTCAATTAATTTTGTTTTATCTTATTTATTATCTTTAATAATATTTATTAATCATTCGGTTTGTCTTTTTTATTAGTGAGAAAAATGTTTGGAAAAGAAATTTTATAAAACAACCAGTGTCTAGTAACATTTTGAACAAAATATTATTTGGCAAAATGCCAATTTTCGAAGTTAAAAATACCTAAAACGAAATAAGTCCCCACTCTACTTTTCATAAAAGTTAACTAATATTATTATGGTGTTTTTAAAATTTCAGGTTATTTTTTCTTGAATCGCCTGCATTTCTTGAGAGACTTCTTGAAATATAGGGAAAAAATGACCATTTTCAAAATGTAAGAATTTGGTCATCTTTGAGCCATCAATTGAAAAATTTGCAGTGACTTGTAGAATTTTTTTTAATTGTGTTATATAATGCTTCATCTGTTCTATTCATATACTATATGAATTATCCCAAAATAATAAAGAAAATTAAACCACATGAAATCAAGTATATAGCATTTTTATGCTTGAATTGGGAGTAAATGGGGCAAAAATCTATATTAGCCCGTTACCATGGCAACCAAGGTAGTAACCTTAATTTTGAATGTTGATTATGTCATAATGTATGGGCATTAATCACCTGAAAAAGTTTCATGAAAATCGCTCATGGTGTGTGCCACAGCCCTACAGTAAAATTTTGGTCCTTACAGAGAATTGATGTTAATATGTGCGAACGATGCATGAACTTTTTACAAACGTAAATGTTTATACAATTTTAAAATTTTTACATGAAACTGATTTTTACTGTAAAATTTAGAATATTATAACTAAGGAATTTTGTCTAAATTTTAACTGTTTACATTTTTTTTAAATTTTGAGTCCGTCGGATGGACGTTAAATGGCGCCCGGTGTCAAGGATAACTACCCCCTTGGCACGCAAAAGATTGTTTCTATGGTTTTCAGAAAAAAGAGTAGGCTCACTGAGGGCCACCAGAGAAACCAAAAGCTTCAAAAAAGGTCATATACACTTAATTTGATCGCCGAAATATGACTGAAATATTGTCGACTCGGCGTTAAACAATAATAATCAATCAATGAATCTAAATATCCTTCCACCAGAAGAAGAAGTCCCCCATAAATCTCGTTTCTTTATGATTTTGTGACCAGATTTTAAATTGAATCTTGTATAATTTGCAATGTTTAATTCTAATATGTTATAAAAATTGAATAACAACGAATACTTTGGAAGTTAGAGGTTCTGACTGAATTTTTTTTAAAAGCTGGCAAGTGAATTACCTTTATCACAATGCAAAGATGAAATATGGAAATAACGAACAGTATTCAAGTTAAAAGTCCATATTAACAATACAGAACGGGAGCAGACAAAACAAAAATATCAGAGGTGCGATCAGGTGCCATGGAGGACCGGTCACACCCGCCCTGTGCTCCTTGTCATGATCGGAAAAAAACTGTAGACAATTCAGTGAGTAAATAATGGCCTAACAATCAGTATGAAAAACGTCAATCAGTATTTGACTTAATAATTGGTTGTATTTGCTGAGAATGTTCTTGTATCGACCACAAAATTTGCGAAATAATGATCTCAAACGAGACTATTGATAGTCTTGTTTCATCAACTTGTTTGTCAATAGTTTGCCTCGTTTTAGAAATTGTTCATACGTAGAGCATGCTCTTGCGTATCGAATCAACTGGGAGATATAAACCCCAAATGCAGGTGATACAACGGTAAGGGTATATTGCTACATAAGTAAGGGAAGTTGACGATTGAAAATTTGAAGTCATCACGTTTATCATACAGTTTTGTTGTTAGGTAACCATTAAAGTCTTTTTCCAGTAAAATATCTAGTGTTGTTAACGAGTACCCGGTTAACCGTCGATCGATGCGAGTATCGGTTAGTAAAACTTCTATTCGGTTACTCGGATAAAAATGCTTTTTACACATTGTAAAAATGGTGATTGACGACTATATATCTGTCTTGTTTGTGTGTCGATAAAATTATTTTCTTAAACAAAAACAAACTGTCCGTTTCGATTGACGTCTAAAATCAAATATCTTTGAAGATATTGTGTATGTGGTTCAGTTTGTAATTGTAAATAGTTCATACGCAGTACATTTGTTTTATTTCTACCGATAGGTAAAGGATGAGATAAATAATAGATATGGAAACTGTAAAAAAAAAAATCTTCCGAGTAACCGGTTACTCGATCGGAAAAGTTAGCGAGTAACCGCTTACTAAAAATCGTCCGATTTGACAACACTAAAAATATCCAAATATGAAAGAGATGTGTCATACTCTGTGGTATCTTTTATTTGAAGCTCATCGGGATATATTGAGTCGACATATGAATTGAAGTAACTATTGTTAATTGATAATACGTCGTCGATATATCTAAAAGGCCACAGCAAGTGTTTTCTTCTCATGTAGAAGTTTTTTAAATAAATGTGTCACAATGTCGAGAGAGATAGGTTGGAGAGTCTTTGGCTGTTGAACAGTAAGAGTACTTTTCAATTTTGTTAGCAGAGTAACCTGAGACATTAATGTGAAAATTAACATTTAAGCAATTGCGTTTATTTTGTTGAAAATTAAAAAGAATGCATTTGCTAAATGTTTATTTTGCCAAATAGCAATCACACTGCAGGGTTATCTCCTCTTCCCTGGGCTTGCATTACTGTTGAGATAGTTATAAAGATCTGTTAATCCTGCGTACTCCGATGTTTGACAATGGTAGGCCAGGTTCAAGGTACAGCTTCTTTTTCTGTAAATGATTAAAATCATGACAACATTTGTAGGCTACCTTTTTCTGTCAAAATAAATTGTGATAAAAAATTTTCAATTGCGTAATATTATATATGTATTTCACAGAATAGCATATCGACCGAGCACATTTGTGTTCAAATGATATCGTATGTGACTGAGTTTTAAATTCCATATTACCAAGAAATCTTTATATGTATTTGAGTTTCTTTATCATACATTTAAACAATGACAACCAATCAATCGTACATTTAACGAACTGCAATATACATACATTATCAAATATGAAAGGTCAAAATGTGTTATAACGTCTTAAATTTATTTTCAAAAGTACCAAAAACGCCATTCACGAGAGGTCAGATATACCAAGCTTGTCAATCAATACGGGAACTACATGTATGATTAATAATAGGTATGTCCTTTAAACGAAATTTTAAAATACAGTCAGGCTTCGTTATATCTCGAACTTGATGGGACCGAAAACAACTTTGAGATATCCGAGGCTTAGAGATATCGAAGTTAAAAAACATATAGATAAAATAGCATGGCCTTCCAACTTAATTCGACATGTCCATGGTATTCACGATATCGGTGTTTGAGATATTAAAGTTTTAGTATAAACAGAATACAGTTTCACAGTGTTTAAAGTAATCAGTTGATGAAAATGCCTTGGATCTCGAGGAAAATTGTTTAAAATATTCCAGTTTCTACAAGGACTATTTTGCAAATGAGTTGTACAGAAATATACTGGCATTGACAACAGGAGCCAATTACAGACTACACAATTTACTGTCTAAATAAAGTCATCCTCATGCCTTTACTGTTAACATTGTATATCGCAGAACATATGAAATATGGAGAAAAACGAACAGCAATCAAGCTCAAAAATCTATTGAAACAATACAAATTGGGAGCAGAGCAAACACAGACCTCTGAAAACATCAGAGGTGCGATCAGGTGCCATAGAGGAGTACCCTGTCGACCGTTCATATCCGCCGTGTGCTCATTATCATCAGGCAAGCAGAAAAATAATATATTTAATAATAATTATTATTCTAATTATTATATATCTAATAAATAATTGTCTAACAATTAGTATGAAAAATGCCAGTCAGCATTCCACTAATGGTAGATTTTATTTGCCGACAAGGTCGATGTCATTTTATCGACCATAGAACTTGCGGAATAATGACTTTTTTGTTAATAGCTTTGCCTCTTTTTAGAAATTGTTTGTACATGGAACATGCTCTTCTCTTGCATATCGAATCAATTGGGAGATATAAACCCCATATGCAGTTGATAAAAGGCGATATATATATATGTGTGTGTGTGTGTGTATCAATCTAAATGTTTTTCGTGGGTGCTGAAAGCAATATTTTTAATGATTAATATAAACAGAACTGGTTTGTGCTTGTTAATGCTGCCATAAAATCTGAGGAAGTTTAATTGTGGTAGGTGTTCGAAAGCCATCCAGCAATGCTATCGGATAATACTCTTTGACTCTAATGATTTGTAAAGCTGTAAATTAATTACTTTTAATTAATTTATTTTGTTGAAAACAATAAAGGACTACTAATACATACCGTTATCCAAAGTAAATCAATAAAGTTTTCACAATTATTTTTATACAACCATTGATCAATATTTTACTCCGTCATCGGAAGGTCGTGTGTTTGAATCATGGCCGCCACTGACATACATGTAAGTCGATAAAAAATAGGTAGCAAGCGCCCGGTACTTGGAAGTGAAAGTTGCGGGTCCTTCGGATGAGACCTTAAAAACCGAGGCCCCGTGTCAAGGTAGGCGTTGGCACGCTAAAGAACCCTCACTGCTCAATGGCCCAGAGTAAAGGTCTAAAATTTGTCTTTTTATGACTGAAAAATTCTCAAACGAGACGTAAAACATACAATCAATTAATCAATATTTTAAAATAAATATTACAAAAGTTCAAAAATATACAAATGTGTAAGAGTATATTAATTACTATAAAACTATCAAAGAGTTCTCGCATATTAGAAGTATCATAATATTGAACTACCAGTACAAAAATCATTTTCTTCATATATGATTTATGTGGAAAAAAAACCCAGCTCGGTTAAACATGTATGACAGTTACAGATGTAAGTAATTTATTATATTAATTATCTGCATATACATGTCGGTCTCTAAGTTTTAAGTTGTCGAGCTTTTCCCCTAATTTGAAGCTAATAAATTGTTCAGAATGTATATCAATTACGGACAATTAATATGTTAACTTTCGAATATTTTAAAGATATTCCTCTTTAAAAATTTAATGTCATAGACTTCATTATGCAGATAAAAGAAACCTCGATAATGAATCCCTTAAAAAGTAGAGGTGTCGACAGATTTCTTCTATACAGCTTTTTTTTTTTGCTTAGCCAGACCTTTTTATAATTTTTAGATAAAAATTCTAAAAAAAAAAAAAAAGTCCGTCGTGCGTTAACCTTTGAATATTTTCAACTTCTTCTCTAGAACCGCTCAACAAATTTTAACCAATTTTGGCATATAGCATCTTTGGGTAAAGGGGAACAAAAATTGTGAATTTCATGGTCCCTGCCCCCCTTGGGCCCCAGGGGTGGGGCTAAAACCACCAAAATTGATGCAATCTTTAAAAATCGTCTTCTTTACTCCTGGACGTCAAGCAGTCAAACTGTTTACATGATTGTAATAAGCATTAGGCCCTCTACCTAAATTGTGAAATTCATGGCCCCAGGGTCAGGGGTTCTGGTGCCAGGGCGGGGCTATATAGATCATATAGTGAAAGTGCATTATTTCTTTGCAAAATCTTCTTCTCTGCTCCTGGATATTATTTAAACAAACTAAGTGCATGGTTATGACAAGCAATGATGCCTTTCCCAAAATTGTGAATTTCATGACCCCTGGGTCAGGGGTTCTGGTGTTAGGGCGGGGCTGTATTGATTATATAGTGAACATGCATTAATTCTTTGAAAATCCTCTTCTCTGCTCCTGGGTATTATTTAAACAAACTAAGTGCATTATAATAGTGGACAAGGATGATTTTTCCAAAATTGTGAAATCCATGGCCCCCGGGTCAGGGGTCCTGGTGTTAGGGTGGGGCTCTATTGATTATATAGTGAACATGCATTAATTCTTTGAAAATCCTCTTCTCTGCTCCTGGGTATTATTTAAACAAACTAAGTGCATTATAATAGTGGACAAGGATGCCTTTTCCAAAATTGTGAAATTCATGGCCCCCGGGTCAGGGGTCCTGGTGTTAGGGTGGGGCTCTATTGATTATATAGTGAAAATGCATTAATTCTTTGAAAATCTTCTTCTCTGCTCCTGGATATCATATAAACAAACTAAGTGCATTGTTATGATAAGCATTGATGCCTTTTCCAAAATTGTGAATTTCATGGCCCCTGGGCCAGGGGTTCTGGTGGTAGGGCAGGGCTCTATTGCTCATATAGTGAAAGTGCATTATTTCTTTGAAAATCTTCTTCTCTGCTCCTGGGTATAATTTAAACAAACTAAGTGCATAGTAATGGTGCACAAGGATACTTTTTCCAAAATTTTGAAATTCATGGCCCCTGGGTCAGGGGTTCTGGTACCAGGGCGGGCTATATAGATCATATAGTGAAAGTGCATTATTTCTTTGCAAAATCTTCTTCTCTGCTCCTGGATATTATATAAACAAACTTAAGTGCATGGCTATGATAAGCAGTGATGTCTTTTCCAAAATTGTGAATTTCGTTGCCCCTGGGTTCAGGGGTTCTGGTGTTAGGGCGGGACTATATAGATCATATAGTGAAAGTGCATTATTTCTTTGAAAATCTTCTCTACTCCTGGGTATTATTGAAACAAATTGAATACATAGTTATGATAAGCAAGGGTGACTCTACCAAAATTGAGAAAGTCATGGCCCCAAGGTCAGGGGTTCTGGTGCTGGGAGGGGGGGCTCTATTGATAATATAGTGAATCTGTAGTAAAAATGCATTATTTCTTTGAAAATCTTCTCTGCACCTGGGCATATCAGAGGCAAAAAGAGTAAAAGTTTTAATAAAGATTCTTAAACATCTGGACCATTTGGTCAAGTGTTCTGGTCCTGGCCAGGGCTCTATTAATTTGTATTCAACTGAGAGGAGTTATTCCCCTTTGCCATTTACTTTTGATAATTAATCACTGTAAATAATGTACTTGAAAGGTTAATAGAATAGGAGAATTATGCAAGATTTTTTATTGTATAATGCATAAAGTACTTTTATAGTTGAAATGATCAGGTAGACATGTAAGTAATAGATAAATAAAAATGAGACAAAAATAACTTGTCTAATTCAATGTTCATTCAAAGACCAAGAGAGTCCAATGTAAGAGATTTCATTAAGGAATTAAAATAGTACAGAATCACTGATAATTTGTTAATATACTGTATGGTGATAGTGATAAATGGGGAACAGATTAGAACCTAATTTATGAACGGTTAATGAACACTAGACTAATTATTTTGCTGATCCTGATCACCCTATTTTTCTTGCTTTTGGGCAACAAAGCTCACCTTTCAGTTCATTTTATACTCTATGGATCCTCTAAATTGTTGTATTATACTCTGGTGACCGTTAAGGCCCTTTTTTATAAGGGTCGTTGATGAGCAAACCAAAAACTGTTAGAATGTAACCTTGCTAACTTTCATAATTATCCTTTCTAAATGTAAAAGTGAAAAATAAACAGATCTTTGATGCAGTGCCCAAATGAAAACAATTATATATTTGACATATTTGTGACGCATGGGTATATAACTCCTACTGTAGGAAAACTCTTTTGTAAATCAATACTAAAAAAAGTCTAACATTTCCAATGTTTTACTGAGCGGGCATAAAAAAATCGATGTTCGACCGCGGAGTGAGATATTGGACCTTTCGATGAGATGTTTGACCGCTTACGTCACATAATGGGCGGGGTGAGCTAAATCTCATTTGCATTCGTTGGTGTTCGACATACATGTATGTCAAAAAAAAAAGGTCTAACAAAACATTTATTGACTGTGTTCTCGGGCAAAATGCGTTTTGTAGACCCTTCGAACCAAACTGTTTGCCTTCGGCGTAACGGCCTCAGGAAAACAGTTTGGTTTTTGGGTCCCACAAAACGCATGTTGCCCTCGAACCCAGTCAGTAAATGTATAATGTGCAATCAGTAATTTATTTTGTGTTGGATTGTACTCACTTTTCTTGATGTACTGTTTTGGAAACTTTATTTATAATTTCTTGGATAGACTGGAGGGCTTCGTTCTTTCTTAACAGATCTTCAACAAATCTGAAAAAATTAAATTAATTTGTTCAATTTATTGATGTAGTATCATGCCCTAATACATGAACTTTGACGTCAATTCCATTAACTTTTGTGTATAAAGGGACGAAATTACGTGCAAAAATATAATTAAATGTTGCTGTTTGAAAAATACTTATTGGATTTCTGCAGTTTGGTTTTCTTTATTTCTTTCTCGACGATTAATTTAATCTGTATACAGGGAAATTTTCGCCTCCGTTTTATTTTCCCCTCTTTCGCAATAGACACAAGTGGGCGAATCTAAGACGGTACGAATTCAAAGAATACAGTACAATTTCTTAAACAGAACTGTGACTGGGCGAATTTAAAACAGGGCAAAAATGTTTGCAAGTGTGAAAGGGCGAAAAAAAACGGTATACATTATCCTTCAAAATTTTGAGCAGTTACATTTCATTTTCGGTAGTGTTCTAAACACTGAATAAACACGTCTGTGTTAGTAAAAATACTTTCACTACTTATTAAGTAATTCCAGTCTTGCTGAACTTATATTTACAAAAATGGCAGCTTCACTAATGGCGCTTCTTTTCGGTGCATGTTGTTTCGAGAATTACTCAAATCTCTTTTTAAACAAATCGGTTAATGGTACATGTAATAATTTGCATATAATTTATTTAATAAAATCATTATTTACATATTCAGTGGGCTGTCGGCACTTCGTGTTTGGCGCCGTTTCCCAGGATTCCCCTCCACAAGGCCTTGCAAGTTGTTTTGGTGATCTGCTGTTTGTTCTATGTATTTTTCAGCGCAGATATCTACATTGAGACTAAGGGCACATGCTTCTCTGAAACAAAGATAATCATAATGGTTATGATCGTGCATGTGTGAGAAACCTTTTCACAGTAAAATATGAAACACAATAACTAAAAAAAAATATTTCTTCAATATAATTATTCATGCATTCGTTAAAATTAAGTTTCTCAAGGCTAAACACAATAAGTTCGAAAGAATATCAGTACACAATTAAAAACGGACCTCCATATTGGTAAGCAACTTTTATTTTGTTAATTTTAAGTCGAATTTATATATGCAAACTTCTTCATGCATTTATGCTTAAGAAGAAACGCATATTTTTGATTGATCTACTACAATTGCGTCTGATCATGGTTTTAATAGTTTTGAATTTTTTGGGGTTTTAAATAATGCCCAGAAATTGATATGCGATAGAAAATCACTCAGATATGTCTGGAGTGCTCCACGTGATCACGAGTAGTTTGCCTTTGAGCTTCGGGGTCAAAAGTTATATTCTACTTTAAATAAATAGCACGGGGTAGTACATGTAGAACAAACAAATTCAGAGATTGTGGTCCCCCCTTTCGGGGTCTCATTGGTTTGGATGCATCGACTTACGCCATACTGTTAATGTCGTCTCTGTCCTGGCTTGTCTGTCCATCATGCAAAAAAAGTTTTATATTTTTGGAGCAATAAGTTCTGGTGCAAAAGGAATATGTAAAGGTCACAAGTAATGTACATATGAACAAAAATTAAAGGCCAAGATTAAACTTTTCGAAAAGTAGGTCAATCAAGTCATGAGGTAAAAAAAAAACCCATCATTTAGTGGAAACAGTCTTGTCACAGGTAATGCACATGTAACAAGAGGCCCAGGGGCCATATCGCTAACCTGAGCACTATGGCTAGGAAAAAGCAGAAATCAGTTCAGTCTTGAAAGGTTGAAAAGTTTAAATTTAAAATTAGTTGGGGGGGGGGGGCATGAATTGAACAAATTTGAATCTACATTACCTGAGGATGCTTCCATTTAAATACGACCAATCGTGGCTTCGCTGTTCTTGAGTAGAAGATTTTTAAAGAGTTTTCCTATGTATTCCTATGTAAAACTTTGATCACCCATTATGGCCCCACCCTATCCCCAGGGGCCATGTTTGAACAAACTTGAATCTACACTAAGAATGCTTCCATATAAATATGACCAATCATGGCTTTGCTATTCTTAAGAAATGTTTTTTTTTAAAGATTTTTACCATGTAATCCTATGTAAAACTTTGATCGCCCATTGTCGCCCCACCCTATCCCCGGGGGTCATGATTTGAACAAACTTGAATCTACACTACCTGAGGATGCTTTCAAGTAAATATGACCAATCATGGCTTTGCTGTTCTTGAAAAGAAGATTTTTAAAGATTTTTCCTATATATTCCTACGTAAAATTTAAAACTTTGATCGCCCATTGTGGCCCCACCCGATCTCCGGGGTCATGATTTGAACAAACTTGAATCTACACTACCTGAGGCGACCCCTGGGGGTCATGATTTGAACAAACTTGAATCTACACTACCTGAGGATGCTACCATCACAGCTATGTTAAGGCTTCCCGAAGCTTTAAAATGCGCTCAAAACATAATATGTCATTGCGAGGTCGGTTTTAGTTTTAATTTATAAGTATTGAACTTAAGTACTCCCAATTTATATAGAGGGTTTCCTCGGCTATATATTAACATATTTGTTATGATATCACATGACTTTGTTGATCACGTGACGGTCATTTATAATTTTTTGAATCGCTTCGGCGCAGCTGATTAACATAATAATTATTAACATTTTGTTATATAAATAAACTCATCGTATCCTTGTGTATCCGAAATGTGCTTGGGAAAAGTCATAGTATTACTTAGATACAAAATATTTCCTGAGAAATTCAACTTACCTACAAATCTGAGAGTATTTTCCACACAATATCGTAATCTGTATTAAACCAAAGCCAACACACATTTTTCCCAAGCAAAATTCAGTTAGAGAACAACCTCTTCTTACAGATTTTCACAAAAATTCTCAGATTAATCCTCATTAATCATGATCACCTGCGCCAGACTCTTTTAAGGTCAAGATCTAGTAAATGACTTTAGACTAACTTTTTGGTGCTAGATCCATTATGACGTCATAATCAATTCTAACTTTCTTTTTCCCGTACTTTACGGCTCTAATAGAGTTATGTAGAAAATAAAGTATTTTCGTGGAATTCAATTTGAAATCATGTGAAAAGTAATCCCGATACCTATATTCAATTTAATATCATTTTAAAGAAGATTATTATTACGATTTATTTGTACGATTACAAATTATCGTTTTCTGAGAGACTGTAGGCAATCTGGATACATTTCCTTTGTTTGATATGAAAAAAACTCCCGTATTCATGACTGGTTTTCTTAATTTTTCATTGAAAATGACAGTTTAAAATATGGTTTTTCGTCTGGTTCATCTACAAATTATGCCCCGAAACACCTTATTTGACCAAGCTAAAGTTATAAAGCATCATTAAAGGAATTTATTTCTCAAATTTGAGAAACCTGTAGGCACCTTTCATTTCCAAAGATCTTGACCTTAAACACACAAAATAAATTCTACCTCCAACCACGGGTATAAAACAGAGTACATTTCAAAAGCATATTTTTCATAAGCATTTTGAACATGCTGAATTTCAATCAAGGGTAGGTAAGCGGTGTATTTTTAAAATATTCGGACATATAAGACTTAAAAAACCTTTAACGACCCGTGAATTTTGCAATAGCTATCTAGTGTTTTACATGCAGTTTGAAATAAAGTTTTAAGTTCATGATACTCTCCCCGTCATAACACCTCAAGTTTGCAGTGACTTGACGTCATTTTCCATTATGATGTCATATTTTGGTAGTTCAGAGATGTGAAGACACAGAGTGCACTGTGATATTCTACGGGGAGCCTTAACCTACCTGCGATGTAAATATTACCAATTATGGCTTTGCTGTTCTTTAAAGATTTTTCCTATATATTCCGATGAAAAACTTTGATCGCCCATTGCGGCCCCACCCGACCCCTGGGGGTCATGATTTGAACAAATTTGAATCTACACTACCTGATGATGCTATCAAGTAAATATTACCAATCATGGCTTTGCTGTTCTTGAGAAGAAGGTTTTTAAAGATTTTCCCTATATATTCCTATGTAAAAATTTGATCGCCCATTGTGGCCCCAACGGACCCCCGGGGGTCATGATTTGAACAAACTTGAATCAACACTACCTGAGGAGGCTTCCACATAAGTTTCATATTTTCAAGCACATTGCTTCTTGAGAAGAAATTTTTCACGAATTCATAATTATCTCCCCTTGGAAGAAGGCGTGGCCCTTCCTTTGAACAAACTTGAATCCCCTTTACCCTAGGATACTTTGTGGCAAGTTTGGTTGAAATTGGCCCAGTGGTTCTGGAGCAGAAGTCGAAAATGTGAAAAGTTTACAGACGGACCACAGACAAAATGTGATCAGAAAAGCTCACTTGAGCCTTCGGCTCAGGTGAGCTAAATATATTTAAGCCCCGTCTCTTTAAGTGCAAAAACTACAGCCAAAAATAATTTGTCTTTAAAATCCGATCAGACTTCAAAGTCATGAGGTCAGAAATGATAGTATTTCTTGAAAATGTTATCACAGATGATGTGCATGAAGCTTCATCTTCTCTCATTCAAAAACTATTGCCAATGATATTTTGTTGAAAAGTAAATTGACCTTGAAGGTCATCAGGTAGAAAAAAATTATTGTATCATCCAGATAGGTCTTCTCACAGATAATGCACATGTGAAATTATATATAAAATTTCTATCTTCTCTCACCCAAAAGTTATAACCAATGTTACAATTTTTGAAAAGTAGGTCAGACTTCAAGAAAAGTGTCAAGAGATAAAGAAAAAAAAATTCAGTATATTCAAAAATATCTTGTCACGGGTAATGCACATGTGAAATATAAAAGTTCCATCTTCCCTCACTCAAAAGTTATTACCAATGTTACAATTTTTGAAAAGAAGATCAAACTTCAAGATAAGGATCGAGGGGTTAAAAAATTATAGTATATTCAGAAAGGTCTTGTCACAGGTATTGTACATGTGAAATGTAAAAGCTCTGTTTTCTTTCATTCAAGTGTTATATGAATTACGACCAAAGTTAAAGATACATGTAATGTGACAGGCAGACGAACGAATGAAATTAAGTGTTTCCGAGCTTTTGCGGAAAAAGGGGAAGGGGGCAGCAGTGCTCTTTTCTTAACATAACAGTCATGGAGAATTATTATTCAGAAAATTACATCATCTCCCTGGAAATCCCGTTTACATTTTGAGATGCCCCTGGCACTTAATCATGATTATTGTTGAGCGATTTATTCATCAAGCACGAAAAGCTGCCAACATCTATTATACATACAATCTTGAAACAAATCTGTACATTCTCTTCTTATATCATTTAGCTAGCTGATCTAGCGAGTGTGAATAAAATAATGCAAATTGACATTTTTTTCTTGTAAAATTAACAAAAAAAATCAAACCTCGTTCCTGATTATTCATTACTTAATTTTTTCAAGCAAAATTATCATACGTTTACCTTTGTGTAAAAGCCCTGAGTGTATCTACTGTATGTGCTAAATCGCCTAATTTCTCTCGCACTCTATCCAGTTGATCAACCAAACTACAGAAGAAAAGAATACACTTTCTGAAATTTGTATAATGGTACACATTTAATATCGCATGAATGAAAAAACTGAATAAAGCCTAGTAAATAAGCATAGACTGTACATTGTAGAAACTGAGCGTGAGAAAAATTGAAGTCTTTGAGTCAGGCCCGGAGCAACGGTCTTAAAAGTGTGGTGGGTGGTTGGATGGGAGCGGGGGTAACCTCCTCAGAAAAAAACATGACAAGCAAGCAAAAACCAAAAAAAAACTGTCTAAATCCTGTAATTTGCCAGTGCTCGACCTTACAGCAACAAAAAGTGGGAGGGGCCAGCCAGCATCTAAATGAAATATACTATACTCAGAAAAAAAGGGGGGGGCATGCAAATTGTTGTTTTAATTACTTCGAGAACGTGAAAAGATACTCGGATGATTTAAACTGGGAAGAGATTTTAAGCTTATTGTAAAATCAATGTCTTCAAAAAAAGTCATAAAAAATTGGGAATTGAATTTGGCTGAATATTAATCCATTATTAATCCATTGAGATATTAATAGATTTATTCATTAAAGTGAGATGCCTAATCATGCAGTGTCATGCTATGGACTAGCTGCAGATCTGTACCTCGCTGGTCTGCAAAAATTGGGATGGACGATCAGAGATCTGTATCTCGCTGGTCTGGAAAAATTGGAATGGTCGACCAGAGAGCTACAGTTCCGACGATTGAAAAAAAGTGTATATTTATTGCGTACAAAAAGTGCGTCGTTTTCCGGTTTATTTCACCGAATACTTCCAAATATTACTAACCGTATGTTCCTAACATATTCTATTACTACTTTCACAACAATCTTGCATGTAAAAGTCATACACGAATTGCTTTGGACCGAATTGATCATTCTCTTCTAAACAAAACAAAAAAAACAAGAGGCCCATGGGCCACATCGCTCACCTGAGTAACTTTGGCCATGCTGTTCTTTACCAGATTTCCCCCCTTTTAATATACCTATTGTGGCCCCGCCCAACCCCCGGGGGTCAAAATTTGAACAATTTAGAATCTACACTACCTCAGGATGCTTCTAAATATGTCTCAGCTTTATTGGTCGAGTGGTTCTTGAAAAGAAGATTTTTAAATATTTTTCTTATATATTTCAATGTAAAACTTGGATTCCCTATTGTGTCCCGCCCTACCCCCAGGGGTCAAGATTTGAACAATTTATAATCTACAGGATGCTTCAATATAAGTTTCAGCTTTTCTGGCCCAGTGGTTCTTGAGAAGAAGATTTTTAAAGATTTTTCTTATGTATTTCAATGTAAAACTTGGATTCCCTATTGTGGCCCCGCCCTACCCCCGGGGGTCATGATTTAAACAATTTAGAATCTACACTACCCCAGGATGCTTCCACATAAGTTTCAGCTTTTCTGGCCCAGTGGTTCTTGAGAAGAAGATTTGTAAAGATTTTTCTTATGTATTTCAATGTAAAACTTGGATTCCCTACTGTTGCCCTGCCCTACCCCGGGCGGTCATGATTTGAATAGTTTATAATCTACACTACCCCAGGATGCTTCCAAATAAGTTTCAGCTTTTCTGGCCCAGTGGTTCTTGAGAAGAAGATTTTTTAAGATTTTTCCTATATATTTCAATGTAAAACTTGGATTCCCTATTGTGGCCCCGCCCTACCCCCAGGGGTCATGATTTGAATAGTTTATAATCTACACTACCCCAGGATGCTTCCAAATAAGTTTCAGTATTTCTGGCCCAGTGGTTCTTGAGAAGACGATTTTTTAAGATTTTTCCTATATATTTCAATGTAAAACTTGGATTCCCTATTGTGGCCCCGCCCTACCCCCAGGGGTCATGATTTTAACAATTTAGAAACTACACTACCCCAGGATGCTTCCATATAAGTTTCAGTATTTCTGGCCCAGTGGTTCTTGAGAAGAAGATTTTTTAAGATTTTTCCTATATATTTCAATGCAAAACTTGGATTCCCTATTGTGGCCCCGCCCTACCCCCGGGGATCATGATTTGAACAATTTAGATTCTACACTACCCCAGCATGCTTCCATATAAGTTTCAGTATTTCTGGCCCAGTGGTTCTTGAGAAGAAGATTTTTTAAGATTTTTCCTATATATTTCAATGTAAAACTTGGATTCCCTATTGTGGCCCCGCCCTACCCCCGGGGGTCATGATTTGAACAATTTAGAATCTACACTACCCCAGGATGCTTCCATATAAGTTTAAGCTTTTCTGCCCTTGTGGTTCTTGAGAAGAAGATTTTTAAAGATTTTTCTTATGTATTTCAATGTAAAACTTGGATTCCCTATTGTGGCCCCGCCCTACCCCCGGGGGTCATGATTTTAAGAATTTAGAATTTACACTATCCCAGGATGCTTCCACATAAGTTTCAGCTTTTCTGGCCCAGTGGTTCTTGAGAAGAAGATTTTTTAATGAACCCACCCTATTTTTGTCTTTTCTTGATTATCTCCCCTTGTAAGGGGACTTGGCCCTTTATTTTAACAATTTACACTCCCCTTCACCCAAGGATACTTTGTACCAAGTTTGGTTAAAATTGGCCCAGTGGTTCTTGAGAAGAAGTTGAAAATGTGAAAAGTTTACAGACGGACGGACAGACGGACGGACGGACAGACGGACGGACAACGGGTGAACAGAAAAGCTCACTTGAGCTTTCAGCTCAGGTGAGCTAAAAACTATTGGAATGGAATATAATTGCAGTTTTTTTATCGAATGTAGTTTACATTGTAGAATCCAAATTTAATTTAAGAACTTAAATATGATGCAGAATTTTAGAAATAAAGGTCCAGACTAAAAGCTTCTCAAGAGCTAAGGATCAAACCTCCTTAACTCCCCATCACATGGAAGAACATCCAACCCACCCGCACTCAAACCCCTTCCTCTGAATATCGCAGTCGTTTACACTTTCAGAGAAAATGCGCTGGCAAACTGTAATCATTCTCTTTTATGATTTATGTATACAACCATACATGTATATATGGCATGCTTGTCTATATTTTATTTTATCTCCGCAAAAGGCGTCTAAACTTTGCTATCCGACTGGAAAACTCGTCTCACACCATGAAGTGTTATATAGTAATCTCTGGCGGAATATATTCTTGGATTTTGATTGGCTACAAATCTGTTTCTAAAATGACATCGAAAAATATGTCGTTACGTTTTACGGAAAATAAAACGCAAACAAATTTAATTTATTCACTGCAATATTTCAAGATTATAAATGAATTTTTAAACCCACTAGTTTTTAAATTTGCCCTCTGTTCGAGATTAGTACGTTCACTTCATGGTGTGAGACGAATATATCCAAAATGTATGGGTGATCAATGTTCATATTGTTTTGGATTGTAAGCAGGAGAGCGAGTCTGAATTCAAAAACAAAATGTTTTAAAAATTGTCACTAGAAGATTTAATATTATCAAATGCAATTTGTATAATAATTGCTTTTGCTTCGGCTGTAGAAATTGTTGCTTCATTCAGAAATCTCGAAGAGTGCACATTATTTTTAACCCGAATTAAACCACTGCAGAATTTGTTTCTGATTTAATAAATTCGGTTAGGGATGTATTTACATCTAGTATGAGTTTTCATAGCGGTATTTCAATATAAGAAAGATTTTACAATATCCAACGGTAGATTGGAATCTCCGATATGATTTTTAAATTTTAAACCTATTGACTTTCATGCATGTTTTCGTGTATTATTTATATATTTTTACCGACATGTGGCTCATCAGCCTAAACACAAACCGCCCACAAGGGAACCCGAAATACCCTCAAGCAAAATCGCGGTGATATACCTGGATCTTAGGCCAAGGATTATGTTTTATTCATTTCCTTTATAAAAGTAATTGAGCAATGCTTGTTAGGAGATATATATTCCGTTTTAAGCTGAATACAGGTACACATCAAATTTGTATATAATTAATTGTTACATCGCATTCTTCCTTGTTGCCGTGAATATACATGTAGTGAAATTCATCTTCAATTTCTTGAAGATTACAATTACCATAAATTCAGTCCCGCCTTGATGAAATAAAAAGAAACCATTTATCATATACTTAAACAAGGGTATTTTAAGAATGAAACCGGATATTAACAAAAATCTATTTATACTAACCACATTTCAACTAGGTAAACATGTAATCTCGTGATTTAACTGACAGTCTTTGAAACAGAAGCGAGCTTAAAAGTTACATTAAGGTAGGTTTATTCCTACTAGTAGGATTTATGTATTAACGGTGCAAGTTTTGTCCTGGCTTCGGGGCCATAAAACTTGGACGGGTTCACTTTTGATCTCAGTCTCATTTTTTACAAAAGGAATTAATAGTGGAAAAGTGAGACTGAGATCAAACGTGAGCTCGTCTAAGTTTTAAGACCCCGAAGCCTGGTTTACATTAAGAAATACCTTATGTACTTCAAAGCACGAAAACACATAGATCATCTATATTTTACTGAGATAAGGTGTGAAACACTCCTATTCCCACTTATCAATAAGAAAAAATCAAGACAGTCTGTATTTTACGTCATTGCACATGGCAGATATATTCTTTTCAACATAAATCAAATGAATATGAGGATTATTTTGAATAATTTTAGGCTAAAGTACATGTACACATATCTGATTCAAACGAAGAAAATATTGAAGATTTTTTTTTTATTTGCTAATAAATTAACAAAGCTCAAAACTCAAATAAAGCCTTTTACTAGAATAATTAATGTGTTAACCCTGAAATTTTTTGTCTTGATTTATTGCAACTGATGCTTAAAAGTATCTGTTCAGCACAAAAAATGCATTGGTCATCTGCCTTTTTATCGAAGAATGGGGTAAAACATGTAGGTACCCCTATCGCAGTTTAATAGCTCAAACGTTTATGTTTACAAAATTTTTATAAATAAACGGGAAAAAGTGGAACATTTCTTTTTAAGAACAATTTCATTTATAATTACACATTCTTTTCTGAACATAAACATAAAAGGACTTTGTATGCTAAGAGTCAATTTGGGCCCCCAAAAATAAACATTTTAGAATGTGATTCAGATATGCATAATTGTTTTTTTATTTTGTATAAGAGATTATATTAGAGATATTTCCAATACATTTCTTTTATATTTATATGCACTCATGGGCTGTAAATGACGTCAGAAATGTTATTTTTGCAATCCAATCAAAATAAGACAAAAATGTGCCTTTTTCTTGTCGTTTTTCTTATTGGAAACATAGAGCGCAGCTTTGAACATGCAAATTTTTTCTGTCAGTAATTAGTCTTGGATAGATACATCTTTGGTAAAAATATAAAGTTTGTTCAAGTCTGCACTCAATATTTTCCGCAAGAAAAACTGCTTGAAAATGAGCAGTTTTATACAAAATATGCTAAAATGGCGGGAAAAGGTGAACTTCTAAATTAATGGCATTTTGATCAAATTGAAAATTACAAATAAATGTCACGTGTATAGCTATGCAAAGTAAAGCTATATATAACGTACAATTAAGATAATCATTTTAAGGGGCCATTTAGACATTTATCATATACTGCTCTTTCATTCAAACTTTAATAATCAATATATACAGAGGGCATATTCATCACTACTGAACCGACTTTCCTGAATGTTTAGTTCTACTAACAAAAGATGAAAAACAAGAGATACAATGTCTTTCATTCAAAAATCATATTATAATGTCTTTCATTCAAAAATCATATTAAAGAATTCAAATATTTCATTAGTAGGCTTTGTTGACTTTTTTAAAAATAATATAGTACCATCGTTCGTATCTAGAAGATTTACTGTTACAAACGAAAGTAGGAAAATCCCAGGTGCACAGCATACCGATTGTGCACAAATGAGTGCAATAAACGAAAAGATTAGGACAAATTCTTATTTGGATGTATCTGCCATAGGTATCAGAAATATTCAAGTTGTACAATATACCTGCTGTAATATGGGCAAAAAATATACACTGCATCTGAAATAACCGGCATTCAACCTCGCGCTTGTGTCTTACATCGATTAAATCTTCTGCTACATACTGTTTGATTTCAATTACCCTCATTTATCTTTATACACCCCTTCCAACATTTCTGCAGACGTTGTTAACATTTTATTATTGTTATATGAACCGTAATTTTAAAACCGAAAAAGAATAAATCCGGCTTCCGGTTTGCCACGAGTAGACACCTACTTGTTCTTAAATAATTATATGTACAGTAAGAGTGATGCTAAATGATCAACCCCTTGTTCGTGAAAAGGCTAGTTAGAACGGTTTTTTGTTGGTCACATTAAAAAAATGAATACTTTATAACCTAAAATTAAAGAGTGAAATGGCCGACGTATACTAACCAAAAAATAAATAAATAAATGAATGGTAAGGGTTAAGGTTAAGAAAGACACTATAAGATATGAACTGAATGTTAATTTTTTGTGAAATTTATATACGTACTGTTTTTCCCGTAAATGTTGTGTTTTAATCTCAATTGATGATGTTGCTACGATGAAAAATAGCACTGATAGAATCGATGTCTTCAATCCCTCCATAATGATCAAATCCTGAAATTAATTAATCAAATATCATTTGACATTTATTTATTTTTGTTATATTATTTGACGTTCATTTTTTACTAGGTTGTTTATCGGGGCCAACCGTAATTGAACATCCAGCTTGCCACATATTAATGATCGACTTCTGCATGATTTGTGGTACAATGAATGCCAACAAGGCAACATTTGTAATATGTAAATATTAATAAAACGTTACATAGCAGAATAGATTTACGTATCATAAAATTGCATAAAAACGTTATCCGATATCAACAGCTAATTAAAAACTGAAAAGTGTTTGTATGTTGGGTGTTTGTAAGTCGCTTCCGTCCACAAAGGGAATATAAGATACACACTGAACTATAAAAAAGACGATTTCGTCCAAAAACAATTGATTATGTGCCAGACAAAATAGATATTAACATTAATTTTCTTTATTTGTACCTTTTTTTTTTCATTTGCATCGAACGTCCGTTTAAACAGATTAATTTGCACATATTTGTGACATTTAACTCATCATGACTTTCAAATAAATTGGTCTTTTTTACGCTGATTGGTTTGAGCAAATAAAACCCTATGTTATATGGATCCCGTTATTCTGTCCCACTATTCTCCTTGCATACATTAATAAAATATTGACACTCGTTTATAGAGAAAATTATGTAACCTCTGATATTATTTGTAGAATGCAAATCAATGAACAGTTCTGATACTAACAAATGAAATAATTTACAATTGTGACACTTTCGGAATAAAAAAAGGAAAGATTTATTTTACTGAATGAACTGAAAATATGAAAGCGTTATATAGGATTTCACACCCTTTTCTGATAGAAAAGGAACAAGGTTATACTTTCATCACATCACTGGTGCGTCGATTTTTGACACAAAGAACTTAGCTAAATGTAAGAAATTGAATCCACCTATGACCATTTAATACATTTTCTATCTCAAGAATACATAAAAAGTCTTAATGTTAATTATTTATTTTATTCCTAATGAATAACAAAAACCAATTATTTCAATGCAACCTTGATAGTTGCACTTTCTTTTCTGAGTAGATGTTGTCAACAGAAATTCAATTGTACAGATTAAGTGTAGTGAAAAGTGCCACCGTTTTAAGTGGGTCTGATTGTTTCTTAGAGGACATCTGGTCCCAGTGAAAATGTTAACAATGCCACAAAAGAACCGATTTTCTATTTCCCTAGAAGCTTCGAATCATTACGATCAACAATTTTGGAAACAATCTAGTGAAGATTTGATTTTATCAAGATGTTTTCTCACTTTGGCATGTTTAATTATTAAAACAGACGCAAACTGAGCGATAATCGTCTTCTTAAATCAAAATAATTTGTAAAGCGTAATCAGGTATCAGCTGGCGAGATTTTGGACAAGTTAAGATAATCGCAAATTGAGTATTTTATCCGGAAATCCACTCGACAATTGATGATTGCTCAGGGAAAAGTTGTTCAAATAAAACTCTGAAAACGCCTTCCTTTTTGGTGTCGAAACTTTAACGTAAAGTGTAAACTGCTTCTAAAGAGGCAATAAATCCAATTACTGTTTTGTTCTATTAGCTTTACTCTTAAACTGTACAATAAATGTTCAACATGGTAAATACAGGCAAATGAAGGGAACAAGACGAGTGATCCCTAGAGAAATGATTGTAGATGGATTAATTTACTGTAGAAAAGTTATTAAACTAAAAATGAGATTTGGCACAGTGCCATTCAATCTCTTGTAATCTAAGGATCATTTTTACAAAGAACTTTTTGTATCATAAGAAATGAGCCACTTTTCGACATACAAGTCAACGGAGATATCAGAGTATGGTATTAAAGGTACAGAGAGCATGTGGTCGTTGTTTGCAGTACGGCCCTAATGATATTTGAACACCCGTAATAATTGCTAAACGGCCGTGTTCTCTCGACATATGGTCTGTCACAGAGGTGCATTTTATTCTTTATTATATGTCAATATAAAATAAAAAGACGTTTGACCGAACTGCCCGAGTTCAATACGTTTATGGTATTCAATAATCAAGAAGAATAATGTCCTTTATTGTTGATGATACTGTCTCATTTGACATATTTATAGAGCCTGGAATAATTTAATACTCGATATATTTGCAAATATTAAGGGGAATACTATTACAGAGTATAATGAATCGCCTTCTTGCAAAAAAACCTTCGTATGGTACTGAAATTATTAGTATTTCATCTCATTTGAAATCACCTTTAATTTCTACGTGTCTAAATTAACTCATTCCCTTCGTAGTAAACTTGTGTCTAAATAAGCATCATGTTGGTTTACAAGTAAACGTACGATTACGTTAACACCTATGGTATTCATTTCTTCTAAATGCTAAATTTAAACAGATTTCATACGATTTTTATCGGAAGAATCTTCATGCCTAATTAAAACTGAGTTTCATTTTGTATATCATTTTTTGATTCCTGTAACAATCTCCTGGTTTATGTTCTAATGGTTTATTGGCCCATGATAAGAGAATCGAAGTGAAATTTCTGTAAAATTTTACATAGATTTATTCGTATTTCATGATTAGTTATAAATTTCTTTTGGAAAATCACTATCAAATTAAATTTAAAATTTTACATATCTGAACAGAGCGATTATGAACATTGAACATTTTTTTATACGCGTCATAAAGACGTTATTTACATTGCAGGAGTATAAATGTACATTTTACTTATCAGTTTTGTCTATTAAAATAGTGTTATAATTAAAAAATAATTATTAAAATGCTTGATAATCACAGTTTATATATATATATATATATATATATATATATATATATATATATATATATATATATATATATATATATATATATTAACATGAAATGCCTCATGAGCAGTACACGCTGATGAACATTGTATAATCGCACGTTATTTCCACGGTGTATTACTTTGTTGTGTGTATTATGTTAAATGAATTCTAGTGCTTCATGTACATTATCTTAATTTTTTAAAAATAGTTCAAAGGAACATGTTAAAAATTTGGAAATCACCCTGTCCGTCTATCTGCTTGTGACTTTTTGATCAGGAGATCAGCTCTAAAGTTAAAAAAAAAGTTGTCCATCTTTTGTGGAAATAATACGAACATACGTCATTTAAATATCTTCTGTGAATAGAAAAAAAGTTATTTTTTGGTTTTGAATTTGAAACTGAGAAACTTTGGAAATCATGTTCGTTACAAAATTTTCTTTTTAATCTATAGAAATAAAATAGAAAAAAATGTCAAAAGGAATGTAAGATACATGTATACTTATCAAAAGTTTACAACAAAGGAATTAAAGATAAGTATGTACAAAATATATTAATTGCAATTTTAAAAATGAATTACTTTATGGAAAATGAGGTTTTTGTGAAGTAAAAATGTTTCTGAGACTTTTATAATTTAATAGTTGTGGTAGATTTCTAAAATAAATAAAATCTGGGAGGGAAACGTGAACCTATGATATATATATATATATATATATATATATATATATATTATATATAGCCAGATGTAACAGTCATTGTATTTATAGCTTACCTTATTCAATATCAAATCATTTTTCTAAATTAAATTTAATCGTAAACACTATTTCTGTGTATGTTTTGTTTTTTTCTAGAAATATGGACAAGTTAAAAAGGTTTGCGACTGTTAGAATGACTAAATGTTTTTATATTTCGGAGAGTATCATATGAGGTCACAAAAATAAGCATACAGCATTTACAGCCAAAATACAAAATACTCCAGAAATCATGTTCACATGATAAAAATTACATCTTCAAGATGAACCATTACATCTTCAAAATTAAATAGAAAATCAGACGTTGATTTAGAAAAATATTTATCTGAGTATGAAGTGTAAAATAAAAAGGTATCAATTATGTTAACTTACCGAATCTATGCCGCTAAATTCCTTGTTTTCCTGTTTTTTTCAAAGGTGTCGAAAACGTCTGCCTTTATATAATATGGTTGGCTACAGTCACACCTTTTTTAAATAGACAAAATTAATGAGTAAAAAGTCTAAATTAAGTTAAAATTATTTCTGGCAAAAGGGAGGGGTTTGATACTTGCGCAAGCACACCTCTCTGTCCCCAGATGTTTAATTGCTATCGTTAAGTTGGCGTATTGTACTGGTTTCCTAGCTAGCACTAAAGTCTTGGCTAATAATCCCCTTGCAGCTTTTTGATTTTCATCAATATAGGCCAATATGTGACGTCACGAGTCAGAATCCTTATAATTTAAGAGTCAAATGAAGTATTCGACAGTCAAAATGGTGGAGTGAAATCATTACTTCACACTATAGCGACGTAGAAGAAAATCGTACACCAATATATGATAGCCACGCCGCACAGAGTAATAAGGATGCTGAGTCAACTGAAGCTCTCGAACTGAGCTAGGTAACATTTAAATACTCCGATCAAACGCTCTGTTACGCTGTCAATTGATGTGACATGGTATATGTTGTCCAGTTTTGTATACACAGTTTGTGTGATTGTACGACTAAAAATTTTTCAGAATCTTTTTTGAAAAAAATATTTCTCCAAAATAATTAGGAAAAAGTGAAACATCACCTTTATATTCTCAAACCTATCAGAGACATATCTCTTCGTTGTAACGAGGCCAATTTTCTGTTGTGAAAATGAAAATATGTCCCAGATTTTTCTCGGGAAGGGTTAAAGGCAGAGTCATAAGACTTGCAAGGATGATAGTTTTGACTGGTTTTTGTGCACAAGTGTTTTTTTTTTCTGCCGTTATTTCCGTTGTCCGCCGTAAGTTGTGCTAAATTTTTTTTAATAAACATTTTCAATTTCTTACAAATGAAAGTATTTATAATAGTTGTTAAAAGAGTGCCTTATGTTATATCACTTTCACCGGAAGTATGGTTCAGCTAAACCGGAAGTGGCCTGAAATTTTCAACAAAATATTTGGTTAGAATTTTGCATATATATGCTATATCTCATTATAAAGCAAAAGGGAGAAATCTTACTGTAATGTTTACTAATATCTACAATACAATATCCTTGTATCCTATGATAATTTGGGAAATTAAGAGGTAATGAAATATTATTTTATGGATAACTATTTCCAGGCGACCATGTCTCTTCTGATTCTAAAGCGACAACGGCTGCAACTATTTATGGTATGATTCTCCATATCAGAAACGTGAGAGCTTGCGCCATTCAAAGGTTATATACTGCTCTTGCTATTCGTTTCTATGCAGATAACCAGGCCAGGTATACAGTTTTGTAATTAAAATTGTTGGGGAAAAATTGTTCATCAGAGCAAATACAAAACCCATTTTCGAATTGTTCATAAATCACTTTATAAAAAAGAAAAGTATCATAGATTTAGTTACTGAAATTTCCATGACTTGCCATGATTGTCGCCCGCGTGGCGCAGTGGTAGAGCGTCTGCTCTAGAGTCGCGGAGTATGGAGTTGATCCTTACGTCGCGGGTTCGAATCCCACTGTGGGACGTGGAGACCGGTCCTTCGGATGAGACCGTATAAACCGAGGTCCCGTGTCGCAGTAGGTGCTGGCACGAAAAAGATCCCTCACTGCTCAATGGTCCTAAGTGCCGAGCATAGGTCAAAAGAATGAATCGTTTAAACGTTCAAATCTGGTCCCCCGATAATTTACTTAAAATTAAAGATTTTCTACATATTTTTGTCTCAATCATTCCATCAAACATTGTAGTTTATTAATTTCAATGTTTACGTCCATGCTCTGTAATTAGGTATTTATCTGATTAATATAGCAGGGGTACGTTGTTTACATCGATTTCTCATAGACTTTAGGCCACACCCCCATTTTCCAAGCCAATTTTTTATATGAGCGCGTGAATGTTTCAGGTTGTCGTAAATACGGTCAATGTAAAGAGTTATACTAGTCATTTACATTCATGATAGAAATTGAAACAATCTTGCGCTCATTTATTAGTTTCCAAATAGACGCAAAATCAGGTACTTGTCTCAATAGTAAAGGCACCTTGTTTACAAATTTCAACCCGCCTTTGACCTCATGAATAACAAAGCACTGAACACGTGACTCAAATCTATTCACTTTTCGAGCTTTGATCACACCCATGCGACATCAGTATAGGTGTCTGCGAGCTATTGATGGTCAATTCATTTTCAAATGGGTAATTAAAATTCTGGGAGAAAACTTTTTTATGATTAAGATGTGTTAAAATTTACTTGTTTTTAAACGCTATTTCAGTCAATTTTGTTTGATTTTTTTTCGGTATCTATGAATTTATATTGGAGGATGGTAGCATACAGCTTGTACTTAATGCTTGTGTCTCATAAATATAGAATGTTGAAATTTAAATTACTGTGGGTATATATATTACATTTGCCTTTGTTCCTAAATATACATCAGCGCTATGTTCATTGACTCTTGAAAAATAGAAAAAAAAAATTTTCCAATTAAAACTGTCATTAATTATATAGATCGTTATTTGAAAAACACTAATTCATTCTCTTTTTCAAGGGGAGATGATACAGAATTAGTGAAAATTTAATGGCATCTTTTAAAAATCTTCTCAAAAACCACTGTGCCAGAAAGGATGAAGCTTATGTGAAAGCTTCATTATAGTGAAGGTAGGGGCCATAACAGGGGATCAAAGTATGTATGGAAATGAATAGGAAATATCTTTAAAGATCATTTTCTCAAGAACATGAAAGACAAGATAATTAGCAGAAGCATCTTCAGGTACTATAGATTCAAGTTTGATCAAATCATGAACCCAAAGGGTAGGGTGGGAACACAACAAGGGATCAAAGTTATATATAGAAATATATAGGAAAAATCCTTCAATCTTTTTAAAAGCATTAAACAAAAAAAAAGCCATGATTAATCATATTAGTACAGAAGCATCCTCAGGTAGTATAGATTTAAGGGTTGTTTTTAAATGGATGCATGAATTTCATCTTTGTAAAGTTATTATCCAGCACAATAATTGGTTCATTGTACTGGGGTAGTTGATAAAATAGCACAAAAAGATATATTTCTATATTGAATACTAGTATGTATTTATTGGAAAATGTCAAGGATAACAACCCCCTTGGCACGTAAAAGATCGTTTTTCTGGTTTTCGAAAAAGAGTAGGCTCACTGGGGGCCGCCAGGGAAACCCAAAAATCCTTCAAATCTGTACATAACTTTTCACCGCCGATATATGGCTGAAATATTGCCGACTTGGCGTTAAACAATATCAATCAATCAATCATATACTTTTCAGGATGCCTTTGGTAAAACTAAACATGAAAGTGAGCGGTTCTAATTTTGTGGTAGTCGACCGCGTGGCGCAGTGGTTAGAGCGTCTGCTCTAGAGTCGCGAAGTAAGGAGTTGATCCTTACGTCGCGGGTTCGAATCCCACTGTGGGACGTGGAGACCGGTCCTTCGGATGAGACCGTATAAACCGAGGTCCCGTGTCGCAGTAGGTGCTGGCACGAAAAAGATCTCTCACTGCTCAATGGCCGTAAGTGCCGAGTATAGGACAAAATTTGCAGCTCTCCACCGGCAAGTGGTGGCGTCTCCATATGAGTGAAAAATTCTCGAGAGGGACGATAAACAAAATACAATCAATCAATCAATCTAATTTTGTGGTAAACAGTACAGTTGATGGAGACAAGGTACAGTTGGAGTTGTACATTAGAAATGCTCGTTTTATTATCAATGTTGAAGTGATGGAGGCAAAGCAAGGCACATGTATGATGATTCCAACTAACACAATAAATTATCTGATAGAAATGTGTTCAGTTACACAGGAAGATGATCTTTACAATTATGTTCATCAGTGGAATTCTTAATCATAAGTATGAATGATGCCAACAAGGAAGGAGACATTTACCACAATAATGTGCATCTGAAATTTTGCATTCCAATCTTTTTTGGATATATTTTAAAGTTCGAAATTTTGCTATAGGTAAAAATGGCCTTGAAAGGAAGAGCTGTTTCTTTTGTCAACCTTAAAGGAAAAGGGGGGGGGGGGTCAAACAAAGCCATAGATCTTCATAAGGAAAATGAAGTGTTATTCTTAAGTGATCTAATCAGCTAGAGGAAGGGGTACAAAAGAAACTGAATTGTGACTGTCTATAAAGCAGCCCCGTTATTCATGGCATTGTGGACGATGTTGATAGAATGTTGTGTGTTAAAGCAAAGAAGATACGCCATCAGAAAAAAATCATTTGCGGGTGATGTCAAGGAGCTCTTAACCGAAATAATGCCCCTAAAGTGTGGTGAATTCAAAATCCCAAACGTTAACTTCCACACACTTCCAACATTAAATTATTTGACATTGAACATTCTGTATTTCCAAATTTATATCAACGGCGGGAAAGTTACGAGGATTTACTATTCCAGAAGACGAGAATGAAACTGGTGATGAAGATACATGTATAATATAATACCAAAAATTGTTATAATACACGTATTACAGCAGTAACTTGATCCGAAGAGCCGTACGTATCACGTCGTTTGATCTGATGAAGCTGCAGAACATTATGGTTTTTGCATTTTAGTCTTTGAAATGTAAATAAAGTGCAATTTACGGCGCAAGATTTTCTGCGTACGGTTTAGGATGTATTCATTTTCCACTTTTAGCATTGGTCAATCAACTACCTTTCATTCCTTAATTCTAGACATATTCTGTTACCAACCTGTATATTTTATCCACCTCCTAACCCTTTATAATCTTCTCTACAGACCAATAAATGCACTTGGAATGAATTTTCTGTCTTCCGACAGCCATGTTGACTTACTGACGATTCTCGCCAGAGATGTCTGTAGATTAAGGGTTAGGAGGTGGATAAAATATATACTGGTTGGTAATAGAATACATGTATGTCTAGAATTAAGGAATGAAAGGTAGTTGATTGACCAATGCTGGAAAGTGGCGAAATGCATCCCCATCCGTGCGCAGAAAAAATATTGCACCGTAAATTGCACTTTATTTGCATTATGGGATCTGTAGCGTTATGACACATTCTTCAGTAAATTGACAAATTATTAAAAACTATGTCTGTAGTGTTTTAAAAAAGTATTTATGCATGATACGATTAGCTTATAATGATTTTTTTTAAAAAGTATTTGTATGTCCTAAAAGGGAAATATAGTTAAAAGTTTCATACTATAATATTTTTCTTAAAAAATCATCCTAATTAGTCGACATTGTGAAGTTTTGCTGTGTCCGTTGCACTTATCAACTTTCTGAATTTGTAATTTTTACAAGAAACAAAAGTATCAAATCATTATATATGCTAAAATGG